GAAAAGTTACCCTTTGAGACAGCATGGATGGACCTGGAGAACATTATGCTAAGTGAAATAAACCAGTCAGAGAAAGGCAAATACCATATGACTTCACTTTTATGTGGACTCTAAAGAACAAACTGAACTAACAAGCAAAACACAGAGACAGAGTCACAGACGGAGAACAGATGACTAGTTCTAACAGAAGCTAGTGGCATAGGAAGATTAGAGGGTGGAGGAATTGAGCAAAAAAGAAAAACTACTCATGGACATGAACAAGAGGGTATTGATGGCTGGGAGGAGGGGAAAAAGGGGGACTAAATGGTAGTGGAAAAATGTAATAAAGATTTTATATATATGGCCCTGGCTGGTGTAGCTCAGTGGATTGAGCTCGGGCCTGTGAACCAGACAATCGAGGTTCGATTCCCAGTCAGGGTACATGCCTCGGTTGCAGGCCGGTTCCCTGCAGGCCAGCTCCCAGCAGGGGACGCACGAAAGGCAACCATACATTGATGTTTCTCTCCCTCTCTCCTTCCCTTCCCCTCTAAAGATAAATAAAATTTGTAAAAAAAAAAAATTAAAAAAAAAAACAAACAAAAAAAAGATTTTATATATATGTGTGTGTGTATATTTTTAAAGTATGGCATTATAAATGGGTACTCTTGACCCATTTTGGAATATTCTGCATTTTTGTATGTTGTAGGGGTGGATAGCAGAAATAACAATTATTTAAATCACCTTCCAGACTGCTAGAGACATGTCTCCATGGGGACCATATGTGACTCCCTGGTGTGCCCTTATTTATAGTTCCAGATGTGAGAGGAACTCTAAGATGAGGGTGGATGGGGAGCTGGTGCAAGGCCATAGGGAAGTTTGATGACATGGGATGTTTCATGTTCTTCCTGGTGAAGCCGTCTTCCCTCTAACTAGGTATCTAGGAATCATTAACACAACAGTAGAAGAGTTTGAATCCATTGAAAGAAAACCCAAAACAACCTACCTATTGCCTTGAGATAGTGGACCAAGGTGTAAGCTCAAACACTAAGTGGTGTGGGGGGATCTCTGGATAAACCACCCCCTCACATCCTAATGCCATTAGCCTTCCATGGATATATGGTTTCCCCTCCTGGGACTACTGCTGCTAATGCCCAATGCCTCCTTTTCACTTCAGCCTTAGAGTATTGTTCTTCAGTCTTTTCTTGAAATACCTTAATTGCTTTCCCTTGAGAGCTGTCAACAAAAAACAAAAAGTCCTATGCTCTACGGAAGGATTTGGTACCCTCTGAGCCGCCTCATTTCTGCCATCCAAACCCTAGGCCAGATCTGACACAGAGATCTCTGCCTTTCATTCACAAGGAACTGGGTTTGGTCTTCACAAGCTGGTTTTTCTTGTGAATTGTTTCCTTTTTTACGCATTAGCCATAAGTCTAGGCCTTTGTTCTTCAACAAGGATGTAGACAGTTCCCTTCACAAGCTACACTCTTTCTATCAAAAAAATTTTTGCCAGGCCCACTTGTTGGGGTTATTCAAATCCTTCAGACGTCTTACTTTATTTATGTCAGTGGGGAGAAAAGATGTTTGAGAATCTTGGGTGCTTAGGTTTGAATTATTTAATATCTAAAGAGCCATTCTAAAATACCAGCTTTATATAAGTGACTATTGACTCTGGTCTGCTTCTGACACCTTTGTAGAAAAAAGTCAGTTGCTCAAGTACACCTAAGGGAAAGAAAAGTTTGCGTAGGCCACCTTTTAGAAAGCTTTACAGAGCCTCTGGACCAGATTCACAGTTTCCAGAGTTTGAGACTTTAGGCCAGGAAATTAAGTGGTTTGGCAGCGAAGTCTCAACTGGGGCCAATTCTATGATATTTGCCAGCAAAGATAATGGGCTGACAAGAGTCGTGTTGCGTTGATCTGCCAGGCAAAATTTCTTCCGTGGCACATTGAAGGCATCTGACCACAGTTTTGTCAACCCGACAGTTTTCCCCTTTCAAATGCCCTGCTGACTTTGGAGCCAAGAAATGCTCATTCTCTGTGACTCTATCAAATAATTTCTGTCTCCGTTCTTCAAGTGGTTGTTTCTAAGAAAGTTATATGGAATTCAGAGCACTTTTCCTCTTTAAAAAAATGTTATAAATGGGAATGAGCTTTCAAGCCCAAATACACTGACTGGCTTAACTGAAATTTTCTAATGATAGAAGTGAACTACTACTTATAACTATGTTGAGATTTTTTGTTTTTGTTTTTGTTTTTGTCTTTCAATATACAAGATAAATAATTTATAAATTCAAAATTAGATTGTCAAGAATTCTGACATTTATTTCAGTGCTAGCCCTTGTGGCTTTATCACCCCCTCTCACTGTCAGCCAATTAGAAGAGCTCTCTGGTTCTGTCCACTGGCAGGAGTTCTGAAGTGTAGACAGGGAAACCAAAGGTGGGAAGAGAATCCAGGAGGAAGGAGGAAACCATGAGTTCTGGGCAGCAATGGCAAAACTCCCTGCCTTAGCTTCCCACTCATCTTTCCCCCAACTCTTTTCCCCTTCACTGAGGCTGTAGGAGTGGCTTTAAAGTATACTCTATACATCAGAGAATGCTGGTATTCAGAAGATTCATTAATCTTAGCCTCCTACTCTGAAATTTTAAGCTGTGTTGAGAAATTTCTATATTTTTATTAAGCCTTAAAACTTGTTATGTGGACTTCCGCCAAGATGGAGGCGTAGGTGGGAACACTTTGCATCCTCCCACAACCAAATCTAAAAGCAATAAAGTTTTAACAACAATAAACGCAACCACATCTTGGCTATTGCAGATGATGCTCCAGTGAACATATGAGTATTTCAATGCTTTACTTTCAACAAAATTCAAAAAGATGTATTTGATTTATCAGCTGATAGATAATTACCATTACTTTTTATGATGATTATAATATAACTTTGCCTGATAACTTAGGTGCCTAAATAATTAAATGATACATAATAGTGGATCTCTTCCTGTGTGCCTACTCTTTGTATTTGTGCAACTCATAAAATAGTGTTGTTGTCTCATAACTTTGTATTTTTTATTACTCACATATTACATGTTCACTGTGGTGAATCAGGAAATGCAGTTAAAAAATAATTTCACTCTCCAGAGGTAATCACATTAATATTTAAGCAAATTTTCTCAGATTTTTTGCAGGTAGAAATATGTAAATGCAATAAAAAATATATTACATCATATATAGCTGCTCTATCTTATTTTCACTTAATATTTTCACCTCTTTATCTACACACACAAGAAATATGTAATATATTTTTGTAATTCATACTATTTCACTGAATGATTAACCCAAAATCAACTTCTTCATAATGGAAATTTAGGACGTTTTCAACTCATGAAAACTGGATAATCACCCTCCTATGCATATCTTTATGCAGTTAACCTCCCTTTATTTTGACTAAGGTTGACCTGACCATCATTTTGACTTTTAATTGATTTATTCCCAACTGCCTGTTCCCACCCAGGGAACATATATACACATATATAAATGGGCTCAAATCTAAGAAAATCTTCTGTACGTCCCTTTACACCATCACCTCCATTCACAATCACATTCAGATTCACACAGAAATCCAATAAGCCTAGGGGTTCATATATACACTTTTCTCTTTCACCCAAACAAAGGGGGAGGCTGGGATGGGGCTAGGGGTGAGTGGAGAAGGGAGTGAGGAAGGAAAGGAGTTCTGAAGGCTTGGGAGGAATGAAAGTCAGGTTGGGATTCGTCAGAGACATAAGAAAGTAATAATGGGTTTAAGAAAGTGGCACCTCCAGTTATGGGAAAAGAAATCGGTATTACAGCCATCGGCTAGGAAAGGTGCCGAGACTGGGAGGCTGGCAGTGATATTTGTGCCCCGAGGGTATCATGCAGGCAGGAGGAGGGGCCACATCATAACCTTGCACAGCCCCGGCTGAGGCCGTGAGAACATGGCCTCTGAGGGATGTTGAAGGAGAACAGAATACTAGATGGAGGAGAAAAGCACAGGCTGCTGAAGAGAGACAGGATTTGATCCCTGCGAACGGATTTGCTCAAATGGCCAATCAATGCACATGCTGCTGCTGCCCAGCATCTCTCGATGACTCGAAGCAAATACGGACACAACCAGCAGATATTTATTCTGCACTCATCTATTTTCAGAAATGTGCTCTGGTAATGTCTGCAGCATCACGGTCCTTCTTGGATATCGCACCATGTCCCAGTGCCATCCCAACCCCTGAGAAGCATCCACATACCCACCGAATCTAGTTCCCCGTGTCTCTAAATCCTACCATCGCTGTCTCCAACTGAACTCCCTCCCTGCCACTCACGTTCACCCTCCATGTATCCTCATGAAATTTCCTTTCTCTTCACTTCTGTATCCATGTCTCTGTGAAATGGTCATAAAACAGCATGTGCCTCATCGCGCTGCTGTGAGGTTAAGTGAATGACCACATGTGAAAGGACTTAGAACTTTGACATACTGTGAAAGCTCAAAAATGCCAATTTTATTAAAATTATTTCCTCATTTATAAATAAAATTGCATATCCCTGATTCTTTCATTCCTCATCGCTTACTTTACCAAATTCTGAGAAGCCAGTTTCCTTCTGCCTGACAAATAGTACCAAGTAACCGATTTCAGTGGCTACATTCACAACTGAGACCTGTTTCGACTGCTCCTCTTCTAGTGCCCAGGTGTGTATTTAATTTAATAGTTCTTATTTTAAAAAAAGAAAGAGAAATCAAAATTACTGATTTCATCAAGTTATGTAATGTATTTCATTTTGCCTCAAAAATATTTAAACTAAGGATTAATAACCAGAGCCAGTGTAGCCTCAAAGCACTATTTTTCAAATTTCTAAAAAATTTTGTGGAAGAAGGTGAAAGAATATTGATAGTTGTGGAAATTGATTTTTTTATACTGGAAGCAGTTAATATGTTACAAAAAATAAATGGTTACCAATTTACTTTCCTTGAGCATCAGGTAAAATAAAAACCAGTGATTCTGGAACAGCAGCAGAGTTCACGGCGTCAAGGGCTCAGACTCTCTTGATTTCCTTTTCCTCTCCACACCATGAGGGGAGGTGATTTGCCCAATCCCGCCTTAATTCTGTTTCTCCTGCTCCTTCCCAGAGATGCCTCAGCTACTGCAAAACCGTAAGCAACATTTCCAGAACAATCTACTGTCCTTCTTTTTCCCATTTCGTTATCTGCTTCTTAATGTCTATCTTTTTATTTTCTGATTCCCTGTGAGATGATCTGTTGTCAGAAGGGCTTGGAAGGGTCACTAAGCTGTTATGACATTCCACTTACATGTGGAATCTAATGAATGAGATAAACAAGCTAGAAACAGATTTATAGATACAGAGAACTGACTGACACCTGTCAGAAGAGAGGAAGATTTGGGGGCTAGGTGAAAAGTTGAAGAAATTTTTTTAAATCTCACAGACAAGAGTATGATGATTACCAGAGAGAAAAGGAGGAAGTAGATAGAAGTAATGGAGGAATAAATGGTGATGGAAGGAGACTTGACCTGGGGTGGTGAACACACAATACCATGTGCAGATGGTGTATTACAGAATTGTACACGTGAAACCTATAGAATTTTATTAACCAATGTCACCCCAATAAATTCAATGAAAGTTTTTTTTCAAAGTTCTTATTGCACATGTGGAAAAAGTATAGTCTAATTTTAGAAAACTCAGGCATAGGGCAGTAACATTTATGAAATATTCACCAAATAAAAATTTAAATTTTTTAAAAACTAAAAATTAAAAACTATAGAATTCTATAGCACTCATAAAATATAGAAAACATAGAATTCTGAACTCTTCACCCCCCCAAAAAAATAAATTTAATATTGGCTCATGAAAAGGGCTGCAGTGTCATGGTCATTGAGAAGTGACTCGATTGTTTGCCTTTCCTCAAGTCAGGGCTTGAGAAGATGGATGCAAACCTACAGACAAGCCAGGATTTGTGTATCAGTTCACTCAATCCTTCAGCAAAACTTTCGTGGCTAGCATTAGATGTTGGTACTAACAAAGATTAACGAAATTTGGATTCTCTACAGTAGAGATAAGAGAGTTGGTGCACAGAATGAAATGCAGTGCAAAACCAGAAATAGGCCTTGCAGGATTCTGGAGAATATTTACAAAAGAAACTTAACTCGTTATGGGAGCTGGAATAAGGGAAGGGGCATCACTGAAGACTGCATAGAGACAATTGTTTTCAAGATAAGTTTTATGAAACAAATATAAGTTTTACAGATAGACAAGGGGCCCCCAGAGTATGTTCACAATAAAGTCTTTCCTGTAAGTCAGCCGGGCAACTGCTGGGCTAGTTGCCTGCTGAGCAACCCAACACCAAGGAAGAGACAAGAGCCACACAAGGTAACTATGCTATTCACTCAGCTTTTATTGAATGCAGGTGCACTCAAAGTAGAACATCAACATACATTAATATCCTACTCATACCCGAACAATCTAAAAGAAATATAACATACACACAGCAGTCAATGTGTAACATACACACACAGAATCCAAGAATCTCAATCAACAGAAGAGGGAGACAGTACGGTGGACAAGGGATCCATCAGTGTCTTGCAAGGAAGGATCTCTGGAGCCAGGTGGGCAGCAGGGCAGATAAAGTCTTCAGTCCATCAGGGCAAAACCTACAGCAGCTGATGCCAAGGTAGATCAGCATGGTGTGGAACAGCACTCTAGTGTGTGGAGCTCAGCTGTCTCAGCAGTAGTCTGGAACTTGCCTCATTTATTCCCTTGAGGGTGGTGTACCACCCTTCTGGGTCTCTTGATAAGTGTCTGGGCACCCTTGAGCCAAGTAGGGAATTTCTCTAGGAACCTATCTATAGGTGGTCCCGCTCTGCAGACACAGCTGTTCTCACCACATGTGCAGATATCTTAGGTGTGTCTCCTTGACAGATATGTCTAGCATGACTTAGGTAGTTTCCTCTTGAACCTAAGTGTCATGGCTGACTGGCAGCCATCTTGGTTGACATAAGTAACTCCATTTTGTTTTATATACTTTATGCTATTTTCACCAGACCAATGACATTTTATTGGTCTGCTCTTCATACAAGGACCCTCTCAGAAGGACAAAAGGCATGAGCAAGCAGAGCTTCTGAAAATGCAGCATATTTGGGTGATTATAAATAATAAGCAAAGAGCCACAAGAGAGTGATATTTTATTCTGGGTATATGTGATAATGTGGTAATTAGGCTAGCTTGTCATGGCTTTTCTTTAATTACCAGAGAATGAAAGATAGAAAAGAGCTAAAGTTGCTTCTAAAATAGTAATAAAAAACAAAAGCAAGGGTTGAGAAATGGGGACATCTGTAATAGTGTAAACAATAAAAATAAAGTAAAATAAATAAATAAACAAAGGTAGTGAAAAGCAATTCAAGTCTTCCTTATGTATTAAATGGTATCTTTTTATTATTCCCTGGAACAATGAAATTTCTTGATATCTTCCATATGAAACAAGCCCAAGACTACAAGAAGAGAGGTTTTTATGCTGTCAGTGATGATTAATTAATTAATCACATTTTGTTTTTGTTAAAGAAAATAGTGTTTTTTCTGCTTTGTTGACAATCGATGAAAAAATTATAAGATATTGAAAGTAGCCAGTGTGATGATTTGATATATGTATATATTATGAAAGTAATCCCCTTGTTGAGTTAATTAACACATGCCTTTTTCACATATTTACTATTTTTTTTTCTGGTGACATCATTAAGTACTACTCTCTTAGCAAATTTAGGTTATACAAAAGAGTATTATCAACTATGGCCACCATGTTTTATAGTAGATCCTGAGGCCTTATTCATCTTATAACTGAAAGTCTGTACCCTCTTACCAGCATATCTCTATTCCTCCCACATCCTACCCTGGCAACCATTTGTTTATTCTGTTGCTATTAATTTGATTTTCTTTCATTCTTTTTTTATATTTTACTTAATTAATTTTAATAGTTTTTTATTGTATTTTTTCCATTAGTATTTTTCTGCCTATACCCTCTTCTCCCTCCATCCACCTTCCACCATTACCATGCAATTGTCAGCGTCCATAGCATCCATGGCTTCTTTATCTTTTTTGCTCAATCCTTCCGCCACCCAAGTCCCCTGCTCAGAGCTTTCAGCCTGATCTCTATCTATGAATCTGTATTTATTTATTTTTAGATTTCACATGTAAGTGTTATCATGCAGAGTTATTCTTCCCTGGCTTATTTCATTAAGCATAATGTACTCAACGTGGATGGCCATTGTTGTCACAAATGGCAGGATTTCCTTCCTTTTTTAAAATATATTTTATTAATTATGCCATTACAGTTGTTCTATTCCCCCCTTCATTCCCCTCCACCCTGTACATCCCCTCCTTTAGTTTATGACCACGTGTCTCAAGTTCTTTAGATTCTATATTTCCCATACTATTCTTGCCCTTCCCCCTATCTATTTTCTACCTACCATCTATGCTACTTATTTTCTGTACCTTCTCCCACCTTCTCCTTCTCCCACTCCCCTATTGCTAACCCTCCATGCGATCTTCATTTCTATGGTTCTGCTCCTGATTTAGCTGTCCTCTTAGTTTGCTTTTGTTTTAGGTGTGGCTGTTAATAACTGTGAGTTTGCTGTTCTTTCACTGTTCATCTTTTTTATCTTCTTTTTCTTAGGTAAGTCTCTTTAACATTTCATATTTAAGGCTGAATAATATTTCACTATATAATCACATTTTCTTGATCTATTTCTAAAGTTGTAAATTATTTGTCCAAAATACATAATATTCATGGATTGCTTATCCATAGCTTATAAATAGGTTTACAAATATCCAGGGCAGATGTTTCTAAAAGAGAGGGATATACATGTTTAGCTTATTGGGTTTCTGAGTTTCTAAAATCTTTTGAATAGGCTTTGGATCGAAGAATATGCTCCTCTACACTCCTGATGAAATCTGGCTTTGTTCTGATTGGTGACAATAACAAAGATTATCTTGGAAGCAGCCACAATAATGATGTCTTTGTAACCCCTCCATGCTTGAGCCGGACTCTCCTTCTCCACAGGCAGTACCTGGTGGTGGTCCCATCACAACTGTACAGTGGAGTTCCTGAGAAAGCCTGCATCATGCTTAATCATCTGAATGAGACCGTGACACTGAACATGATTCTGGAGTATGGAGTACACACCCAGGCCCTCCTGTCAGACCTGGTGACAGAGAAGGACTCCTTCTACTGCAGCCCCTTCACTGTCAGCATCACTCTTCGGGATAAGGGAGATTGTTAATGAAAGCACAGATCAGTTGAAGCCTTGTGTTCTGACCCCCAGCAATAGAAATGCATGATGAAATGCTACTGAATGTGCTTAGATAATATTTACAAACAGATCTAGTGGAATATACAAAAGCTAACTGTAGACATAGGAAAGATTTTGTTTGCTCTTAAACTTCTAAGACAATATTTATGCCACCAGACATATAAATACTAAGACTGGTCAGCTTAAGGGACTTATCTAAGATCTCACAGGTGGCTGATGGCTAATGTATTGCCCTAGTTACCTTCTATTACTTAAGGAATTAAATATTTAGTTAATCATACTGTCTTACTACCAATATAAGATATAATTGCTGTGAAAATACAAGCATGTTATTTCCTCACTGTCATTGCTGGTTGAATGTGATCGCTGATTGAAGATTGTTTTTTTGCCATGCTATTTCCCTTTAATTGAACCAATGAATTGTTACTGTACTGTTATACAATCATAATAATCTATAAAACAGGGGAAATAATCCTTTACCATATCCCCTACTAATTCTCTTGGAACTAACCAGAAAAATGAGAATATCATAAAGGCTGAAACACTCAGAAGCGAGTCAATCTGGGCAGATCCCTCAGCTCATATTTCCGTTTTACAGATTCCAGAGTTGCCAACTTCCTCAGCATTCATCACTGTGCAGGTGAAAGGACCGACCCAGGAGTTCAAAAAGAGGAAGGCAATGCAAATAATGAAAGTAGAGAGTCTAGTCTTTGTCCAGACAGACAAACCTGTCTACAAACCAGGACAAACAGGTATAAGGAACCAAATGAACAAGGGCACCTTAAGCAGCTGGGGATTGGGAGGCGAGATTCTTTGCTACTTTATTCTGCAGTCGTGGAAGTCCTGGCATGTTGTTATCTGTGTTATTACTTTGGTTTCCCCTGAGGGTTTCATGAGGAAAATCTCTGTTTCAGTGAGATTCCGCATCGTCTCTGTGGATGTCAATTTTCTCCCTTTGAATGAAACGGTGAGTCTCATAATGATGGGTGGGGTTTGGAGAAGCATGCAGAAAGTTAAAAGCCTATTCTTTTGGGGAACCTAAGACCAATATGAGATACTTAACCCTATCACAGAAAACGTTCACAAAAGTACAACTTCTGAAGGATAAGTCAGTTCATCAATTACATTCTTAAAATAAATCAAAGACTGTTTAAATGATATTCTTAAAGATACCAATTACTTTTATTGAAAAAAGGAAAAATAACTGTATTTGAATATTGTCTTAGAGAAATGGAGAATTTCTTAGAGATAAATATCATCTGCAAAATAAACTTACTATTCGGGCTTTTTAAAATCTAAGTATAAGTTTCCTCAACTTTACATTATTTCATAAAGGGAAAGGTATGACTTCCTAAGAGATGTATATCCCAAACTAAATATGTAGAGTCCTGTGAGGCAAATTGGGGCACAATTCCTTGCCTGGACAAGGAATACACAGATTCACTTCCTCTGACCCAGACACTCTATTAACACTGATATTGCAGTTTTCTCTTTGTAGACTCTATCTCACACCCTATTATTTCTTTCTTTTCAGTTCCCAGTGGTTTATATTGAGGTAGGTAATATATCATTGTACCTTAATTGGGATGAGGACTTACTACAAGTTATGTTCAATTGACTCTCTCCGCCTCTTCTGTACCCACTGGCATTTCACCAAAACTAAATAAGCACTGTTTTTTTCTGTTTTTTCTTAAATCTTTTGAAGAGTGGTTAAGATGTAAATGAAGGAACAAAATTCTCTGGGGTGATGCAATTTAGTGACTCTTCCAATATTTTTGACCACAATAAATATGGCTACTCTCAAAAGGAGATACTATAATCTGTAATATCTCATAGCTGATAAATTTATTGCCCTTTTCTCACTCTAGAATTCTCATAAAACCTTGCTAATGCCTTTGGTGCCAATTTACCCACCATCAATTATCCAACTCTCAACATCACACTCCCCAAAGTCTATTTATCAAAAGTCTGCATATTCATTGTTTCTATGAACTCGTAATATTTTTACCTATAGAATCCTAAGAGGAACCGAATTTTCCAATGGAAAAGCCTCGAATTGCCAGGGGGACTCAACCAGCTCTCTTTCCCACTCTCAGTGGAGCCCACACTGGGTCCCTATAAGGTCATCGTGCAGAAGGAGTCGGGGAGAAAAGTAGAGCATTCCTTTGAGGTGGACGAATATGGTAAGAATTTTGCACGTGCCCTAGACATTTATAACATTAGAGTATTTAAGCTCAGCTAGCAGGGATTTATTATCTGAATAACTAACTTTATACAACTGTGGAAAGGGCCAGAAAAGTAAGTGTCCAGCAGGAATTGATGGATCAGAGGAAATTGCTAATAGTTCTCCCAAAGCAATGATGGGGACAAATAAATCAGACCTGGCAAGGGCACGTTCAGCTGCCAGAGTGAACCACGAAGAAAAACTGATAGAGCCATCTTATGAAAGGCTGTTACCGCTTCATTGCAACCACTTCAGTGTTTCTGTAGCCGAATGTCTGGGGTGGCTCTAGGGCCTGTCAGCAGGGCTAGCAGTTCAGGAGAAGAACTGGACACTGAGGGAAAGAATAAGAACAAATGGAACCTACCGACCTCACTGTACCTGTTACCACATCTAACCACGACAATCTTCAGAAACCTAAGGTGCTGCTTTTCTTCTACCTTTGAAATACTGAACAAATTCAGGACAAGAAGATTCTAGGAAATGTAGTGCCAGCTTAACCAAATTAATGTGACACCAGCTGTCCATGATTGTGAATGACATCTCCTTTCTCAGTAGTGTCCCTGCTGTTCCAACTTATAAATGAAATCATTTCATGTAATCTTACGATAAAGGTTCTCTAATACAATTATTAGTAACACCTGCAAGATCTCCTGCCCATGCTCACCTCTTTTTTTCTTCTACTGACAACAGTTTTGCCCAAATTTGAGGTCCAACTGAAAATGCCCAAGACTATTGGTTTTCTAGATGAAGCATTTGAGGTAACCGCGTGCGGCCTGTAAGTTACATTTCTCATCTCCTTTCTACTTTCCTCCTTCACTTGTATTGCAAATAATTGTTAATGGACTTGGAAGTATTTTAACTACAGAAGGAGCGACTCTCTTTCCCACTTGGCTGAGCCCTGATTAGGGAGCAGGAATGGTAGCATATGGCACTTTTACTAGTAATATTAAAATCATTTACTGAGCACTTAAAATGTGCTACACAATGATTAAAGTGCCTTGCACTTATTAACATTTTTAGTCTTACATTAACCCTGTGTGATGGGGATAGTTAGCCACAATTTACAGATGAGGAAACTCTAACACATAAAGGATTTTAAAAAAAAACTTGCTCAAGCTCCAACAAGTGGTAAATGGCAGACTGGAATTTAAATTCGATAGTCTGGCTGCAGACACTAAACTCATCACCAACATTCTCTCCTCTGCAATTAAAAATAAATCTAGCTTTATAAGCATTTATGGTTCCTAGGCACTGTGCTAACTTGGGCCTAGACTGTCCAACCCTGGAGCTCATGCTCATGACTTCTGTGTTATTCTGTGTTCTGCCAGCCCCATTGTTTTTATTGCTCCGGAATTCTTAAACTACCGAAATTTAGAAGAAGCTAAACTGGCCCTTTATTTTAAATGCTGGATACATAATGTAGAATTCAAAATATGTGTCATAGTTATTTCTTCCCAGATTGCCTTTTGGTGCAGTAGGACATCCCCACACGCACCAAGGAGAGACATCGCCCCTTGCTTTTGAAAACAGAATGAGAAACATGTTTTCAATCTTCTTACTAGTTTTGATGCTTTAAATTTTTCCAGCATAGGAAATACCTTTTGATTCAGACTTAACCATGAGATTCAACAAAGTGATCAAAATGTACTAAATAACTTACTATTTTATTAGTACTTATAGAAACTGGGGGAAATTTTATTTTTTAAAAAAGAGAAGTTTGGGGACACTGAGCCCAAATCTCCTCTTCCTCACAGTTTGGCCAATAGGTTTCAAACTTAAATGTGCATTAGAGTTTGTGGAGGTGCTTAGTTAAAATGTAAATTCCTGAGCCTCATCTACAGAGAGATTCTAATCATGAATCTTAAGAGAGATTCGGGATTCCGAATCTCAATACGTATATCTCAAGTGGTTTCAACATAGGTGGTGTGTACAGCACAGTTTGAGAAACAATAAACTAAATTTGACTTCACATCATGTCTTAGTCCATTCAGGAGGCTGTATTAAAATACCACAGGCTGGGTAGCTTACAAACAACAGGAATTTATTGCCCACTGTTCTAGAGGCTGGGAAATCCAGGATTGAGGTGAGAGCATAATCAGGTTCTGGTGAAGGTCCTCTTTTTGGTTCCAAGTTGGTGCTTTCCCCCCTCGTCCTCACATGGTGAAAGAGGCCAGGGATCTCTCTGGCACCTCTTGTATAAGAGCACTAACCCCACTCATGAAGGTTCCGCCCTCTTGATTTAAGCACCTCCCAAAGGCCTTACACCCTAATGCTATCCTCTTTGGAGATTAGAATTTCCAGATATGAATTTGGACACACACAAACCTGCAGACCATACCACATTATATCCTTCTTTCTGATTTGGCAGAACCAGAATTAGTCATTATGATAATATTTACTGATAACACTTTTGTTTTATAGCTAGTGCTTTCCCATTTAACTTCTCTTTTATCCCCTTAAAATACATAAAAGTTAAGAGGTATTTTTCAAAGCTGGAATCATAACCTAGGTAGTCTGACATCAGAGAAAAACAGAAATAAAATCAGCTTATAATAAAACCTCACCTTGGGGAGGAAAGATCTGAGCAAAACCACATTGTCAATTTTTTATGTGGAGGTGTTTCAAAAGATTCAGTATTTTCTCCATATATTTTATAGATGTATGCTTACTCAGATAATTGTGACCGTTTCAGAATAAGTGCTTTTAAAGTACAAATGCTGTAGAAGGAAATACAACTGCTCTCAATGAACGAGATGGATATATGAATGGATCAAGTCATGGGAAAAACAAGTTATTTATATTAAATGTATTTTTGTATGACTGCTTTATTGTTATAGATACACATATGGAAAGCCTGTCCCTGGTCTGGTGACAATTAATGTATGCAGAAAATATCCACATTCCTATTCCTGTACAGGAGGACATTCACAAAGTATCTGTGAAGAATTCAGTCAACAGGTATATGAAAACCATTCTCCCCAGGATATTAAAACCAGATCTTTATGGGGGGGGGAGGTGGGCTGGGATGGGAGTAAAAGACAGAAAACTATAGTTGAAAAATAATTAAATTAAAAAGAAAGAAAGAAAGAAGGAAAGAAAGAAAGAAAGAAAGAAAAAGAAAGAAAGAAAGAAAGAAAGGAAGGAAGGAAGGAAGGAAGGAAGGAAGGAAGGAAGGAAGGAAGGAAGAAAGAAAGAAAGAAAGAAAGAAAGAAAGAAAGAAAGAAAGAAAGAAAGAAAGAAAGAGAAACAGGTCTTTGTTTTCTCCTAGATTATAATATTATTAGGAATACAGTAGAATACTGTGCTCTGAATATGATACAATAGAGAGTAGTGTTTGAAATAGTCACTTTGAAAAATTGTGAAGTAAGGGAAACATCATAAAATTGTGTGGTAACATTCAGACCCCACTTGAGGGTTAGGCTCATTAATTTATAGTGATATTTGTTTAACTAATTTTATAATTTTCTTCCAACTGCAATCAACACGCCAGGTATAAGGCCATAAAAGGATGTAGAAGTATCTAAAATTTGCTAGATAAGTATGAGAGAAACCTAGCAGCCAAAATCTTTAATATATCAGAGAAACTAAGATTAATTTTTATTTCCAAGTGAGTCATGACCTCAACATATAATTAAATATAATTAAATTTGATTATGCAGCAATTATTTTCATGTAACTACAAAAACAAAAATAAATCTTTATTAAAGCATGGCTCTCAGTGTTTAGTTTAGAAATCTGATTATAGTCACGTGCTGCATTAAGATGCTATAGCCAATAATAGGCCTGGTCCACTCCTCTCTGTAATATCTCACTGCAACACATTACTTACCTGTTGTGGTGATTCTGGTGTAATCCATCCTAATGCTCTACCAGTCCCATAAAAGTATAGCACATGCAGTTAGGTACAATTCATAATATTCGGTAATCAATGACTATGTTGCTGGTATAGGTATTTACTATGCTATATTTTTTATCATTATTTTAGAGTGTACTCTTTCTACTTATAAAAAAATTGTATTTTTTAAAGCCATCTACCACATCATGCCAGCAGCGCCTCATACAGCTCGCGTTTACTATGTCTCTCTTAATTGCAGCATTTTCTCTTATGTTGATTTACCCTCATGTTGTTTCGTACAGTAACATGCTATACAGGCTTGTAGCCTTGGAACAATGGTCTACCCCATACAGCCTGGGTGTGTACTAGGCTATGCCATCTAGGCATGTTTAGATACACTCCACTCTATGATGTTTGCACAACTACCTCAAGATGCATTTCTCTGAATGTATCCCCATTGTTAAGTGATGCATGACTATGTTATAATAATTCATCTACTCAGTGAATATATTTGTTTTTATTAATTTTTGAGACTGAGGAAATGCAGTTCAGAAAATATAATCCTTAGCCAATATTTAGGTGGAGATGGTTACAGAGGCTTGTTAGTTGTTGTATCTGGGTTGTGTTTGGAAGAGTAATAACTGTTGACCAAGAAATGAATGGGAGAAAGAATGTTATCAAATGAGGAACGACACATGCAAAAATTTAATTGAAAAATACTGTGTCAAATTTGGACAATCCAGGAAGTTTAAAAAGGCGAAAATGAGGTAGGCTCTCAAGAAAAGAAAGGAGGCAAAGATTGGCAAGAGTAACTGAATGATTAATGAAGACATTTTATGACATTTTGGGGCTTAAAAAAGGGTAAGTGACTAAAAGATGATCAGAATATTTATGAAATTTTCTTCCATAGCCAACAAAAAAACTTCCATAGGTTAATAGCTAACTCTTTTGCTAGCAAATCACAAGATCTAGGAATTCTCTTTCTCTCTCTTCAGGCAGACAAGAAAGGCTGTTTTACACAACTCGTAAAGACTAAAGTATTTCAGCTGCAACTGAAAAGGTATGGCATGGAGTTAAAAGTGGAAGCCAAGATCAGAGAAGAAGGAACAGGTTAGTATTATTTCTAAGTATTAATTCTTCATTTATTAATTTTTTAACTTTTGTCAAAATTTTATTCCATATAAAATACTTTATTGTTTGTAGGGACTGTGAAAATAGCAAGATCCCAGTTCTCGAGAAATTAGAAATCTAAAAAGAATTTATACGTGTGTGTGTGCATGCGTGCACAAAACCTGGCACAAAACACAGCCATGTGCCCTGACTTGTAATCAAACCAGTGACCTTTTGGGTTAATATCCAATTGCATGTACTTTGTATGTGCAAAAAACCCGGAAAGATTAAGAAAAAAAGATATGGATGGTATTTTATTGTGATGGAGTGAAGCGGGGATGAAGGTAGGAGGTGAATTGAATACATAGAACTATTCAAATGCGCTTATTTTTTTCAGGGTTGAAATTAACTGGGCATGGATCATGTAAAATCACCAATACCTTAAGCAAACTGGTATTTAAAAAAGTGGATTCATATTATAGACGTGGGCTCCCTTTCTTTGGGCAGGTAAAATATCTTTAATATAAGCATAATTTGGGGGTGTGGCTTTTAATAAAATGAATTTTCATATCACAAAATCAAAATGTATTATGTAAATTAATATTTATGTGTAGTAAGAAAATAAATTATAGCAAATTACAAACTTAAAAGGCAATGTCATCACAAAACCCAGAAAATCGAAGCACAATTTTATCAATCAACTTTCTAACATATCTCTATATTAATTTCTTCTGAGTAGTTTAGGCTGCATATTCTTTTAAACAATAATTTTATAATATAATTTTCTAAATAAAAAATAAAGTCTTTCAACTAGATGATTAATTTTTTAAATTATTGATAGTTTTTAATCTTTCTCAAAAAATATTTTTATTTGTTTCAAGTCTCAATACTGCTAGTAATATTGATAAATTTTAGGACCAAGATGCAATTTAGTAAATAATCAATTTTCTTTTATATAAGAAATGCAAGATTTCTGGGCATATTTGCTTTGTAGTCACTAATCTTTGAACTGACAGTATATAGCCAGTTTCCTCATTTCGGTGGCATAATATGAATTTTATATTGTCTTCATTTATTCCAGTATTTCATATTAAATTGACAAACTAATCAATACATAGATATGATTAAACAAGATCATTTCAGTTTGGTAGAAAAGCATGAGGAAACTGAAGACCTGAAAGATTAGTGTGACTTGGCCAGAAATTTAAGAAAGGTGGGAGAATGTCCAAAGCTCTAACTGTGAAACAGCTTTTCAAGAGCAAAGAATTAAGAAGTAGCCAGTGTGACTGGCTGACTTAGAAGGTATAACTATATTGACTGACTAGCTATAGGTAAGCTAAAATGAGCTTTAAGGGGCTTTGTAGTATATGTTTAGAATTTTGAGTTGAGAAATTACTGAAGATTTTAAGAATAACATGATTTAAAGCAAGGAGGAAGCAGCAAGAAGATGGACTGCATAAGATTAAATAGAAAGCTAATGGAAACCATCTGGGGAGAAATGTTGTGTTTTTAACTGGAATGGAAGCAATAGATTTGGAGAGAAGTAAATAGCAATAAAATATGTTTTACAAGGGAAGAGATAGAATTTGGCAATGGGTTAGATATAGGCAGTAATAGAGAAAATGACAGGAAAAAAAGACCTCAATATTTCTGCATAAACTACAGGATGGATAGAAGTATCATGTACTAAGATAGAGAACACCAGACATGAAGAAAATTTAGAAAGGTAACACCATGAGTCCACTTTGGAATATTTTCAGTTGAATGCCCATGAATTATCTAAATTGACATATCAAAAGTAGCAATAATTCAGAGGCCAGAAAGCAAATCTTATTTCTAGATTCTAAGATCTGCAGTAAATGACAGTGACCAAGATGTCAATGGTGAACACAACAAAGAATGGATGATGATGTTATAACTGTATTACACTAGAAACCACCTATCACTTTCTTATTTCCAGGTTCTTCTAGTTGATGAGAAGGATCAGCCACTCCCTAATAAAACTCTAACTGTCCTTTTGGATAACACTGAATACCATTCCCACTTTACTACGAATGAGCATGGGTTGGCAACTATTTCCATTGATACCACCAACCTCACATCTTCTTCTATTACAGTCACAGTAAGTGGAAAGCGCATCGGGAACCAAAAAGATAGAGATCACTAGGGCTACATAATTCGAGGACATGTGAGAAGCACGAGTCGAGGAATAAAACAAAAGATGATAAAGAGTAAAATGGAAGTTCAGCAATGTAGAGACTTAAATTTTAAGAAACAAAAAAATTCTTTGTTTTATTGTTGTCCAATTAAAGTTGTCCCAATTTTCCCCCGTTGCTCTCTCTCCACCCACCCCACACTCCCACAGAAACAAAAAGATTTTTGTCAGAATTTTATAGATTGGCTCTGTTAGGTTGGCTTTGTTAAATTGACTCTGTTTATAACATCATCTAGTTTCAGGAGATATTTATTAGATCACTTTGATATTCTCTTGAAAATTTTAATATTTTTACAATTTTATAATAAAATTACATTTTTCTTGGCTTCTTCGGTATACTACTTTTTGTCTTGTATTGAGTGTTCAAATGATCCTGTGTGATTTACAGCCATAAGGGTATTAAGAAAAACTAATTGGTCTTGATCGTGAGTGAATAATATCTACTAAATCAGTACAGTATAATCTAAAATAAACTTAAGGGAAAGTCATTCATAGATTATGTTTTATTTGGGAAAGAAGCCTGTAATAGAACAAAGCAAACATGGTTTATATAAAATTTTCAGCAAATTATAGAAAGTGACTAACAAATACAATATATAATACATATTAAAATAGACTATGTAAGACTTTTATTCCTTCCATTAGGTCATTTACAAAAAGGATTCCAGCTGTTCTAATAGCCATTGGCTTGAAGAAATTCATTCACGAGCACATCAAACTGTAAAGCATGTTTTTTCTCCGAGCAAGAGTTATGTTCACCTTGAACTTGTTGCTGGTACCATAGCCTGCGGGAAAACCCAAGAGATCCGGGTGCACTACATTCTGAATGGACAGACTATCAAAGATGAAAAGGAGTTAACCTTCTATTATTTGGTGAGAATGAAAGCCACTGTAGCTCTTCTCAATTGTGTAGATCCCAAAAGATTGAGTTCCTATCTAAGTAATGCCCTTTATCAAATACCAACATAAATATGTATATTTTTTGTTTTTATGCTTGAAGAGAAATTTTTAGTATATAAGTAAACACAAGATAAGAATCAAGAATACGTTCAGCAAGATATAAAATGTTAGACAATAATCTGGAAAAATAAATTTTGACAATAGTGGGAGAAGTAAAAATTAAAACAATAAAGTAGTAGCATTGCATACTTATAAAAGTTTGAATAATTGATGAAGTTTATGACTGGTATAAGTCCAGGGAAAAGTACCTTCACAGACATATTATAAATTAGTGTGATATTTTTAAGGCCAATATACCTATTTATGTCCCCAAATTAACATACTCAAAGCTAGTAGTTACCCAAGTAAGTCTTTACTACAAGAAAAATGTTATGTATAGAAAGTTCTGTATAGAAATATTAACTATAACATTCTCTAAAATTTTAGTAAAAAATTAAAAGTTGACAGTAAGTTACAATCTTAGCTTTATTGTTTCCTGCTTCTGTAGCTTGGTCAATGTACCAACTCTCATCTATGAAGAGAAAAGTCAGTCATCTCACTCTAATACTGGAGTTGGCATTTGTAAGACTTTATAAGATTACTATGTAAATTAAATATAATCCTAAAACTATTGAGTTCAGTGCATGGAACCCAGAGAGTGTCAATACATTTAGTTTTGTGGCTTTCTAAATGAAGACTATAGACAATGTTATATATATTTTACATCTGCCTTCATTATAGGTTGCTTTGCATATAATAGATGTTAAAATATTTTTTAAAGAATATGTAAAGTTGAGATAATACTTATAATGCAAAGTAAATATTAAGAAAAATACAAAAACCTTGTATAAGTATATGTTTGTCACTTAAAGCACATTAATTATATGTATAGGAATATATTAGAAGGGATATTTGAAGATCAAAAATAACTTCTGGGTTAAAGTAGTGAAATTTTTGTTTATTTATATGTTACCATTTTGATTATATTTAATATGTGCCCTTCAGAATAATATTGAGCACATTTCTCTCTGTCTCAGATTAAAGCAAGAGGAAGCATTTCTCAGTCTGGTATCCATGTGTTGTCCATTGAACAAGGGAACAGTGAGTACTCTCAGGATTTCCTAGTTTTTCTCTCATATTGTCAAAGCAAGATTTTATCAAGAATAAGTTATTTTTACATTAGGGAAAATTGTCTGCAATTCTCTTTCATAAACCAAACATGAGAAAACTTACACAAAAGTTTCATTTTAGTCTACTTAGTATTTTTCTTCTTTTTTATAGCATGTCTATATTTTATTTTAGAAATAAAATCTCTAAATTTTATTTAGAAATTTTCCTAAATCATAGGAAAGTTTCTATTATAAAGTGAGTATAATCCTAAAATAAAACATACTCACTTTATAATGATTTTTAAAATTCAGAAGATAATTGAAATGCAGAAAATCACCAAAGGAAAGTTTTACTCTGTATGTCTTTGTATTAGTTTCCTATTTCTTCTGTAATAGGCTACCATACACTTTATGACTTAAAACCATGCAAATTTATCATTTTATAGCTCTGTAGGTCACAAGTCTCACTGGGCTAATATCAAGGTGTTAGCAAGACAACTTTCATTCTAGAGCTTTAGATGATTATCTGTTTCTTTGCCTTTTCCAGCTTCTAAAGAACTTTCTCTCTCTCTCTCTCTCTCTCTCTCTCTCTCTCTCTCTCTCTCTCCCTCTCTCTCTCTCGGTTTAAAGGTAAATATTTATTAAAGTGGGAAATCGGATCAAGATAAATTGCCAATGCCATAAAACTATGTATACTAACTTTATTGGGATGATCACTTAGTACGTTATATAATATCTGATCACTAAGTTGTACACCTGAAACTAATATTGTATGTCAACTATAATTTAAAAGTTTAAAAATTATATAAAATATTGTATAGAAGAAAATAAAGTATTTCTAGTTCCTCATCCTTGCCTTTCTCTTTTAAACATTATTGTGATTATACTGGGTCCGCTTAATAAACCAATATAATCTCCCCATCTCAAGGGAAGATTATATTGAGTTAATCACATTTGCAAAGTCCCTTTTTCTATATAACATACGTAACATATACACGTATTTTTGAGATTATGACATGAATATCTTGGGGGATACATTGTTCTGCCTCTGGTCCACCCTCTGGTCTGAAAGGTTCACATCCATCTCACAGGTTAATTGCATGCACCTCATTCCAACATACCTAAATGTCTCAATACCTTATACCATTAACCCAAGCCCAAAATCTCATATAAATCTCATGAACTCAAAAGTCCCGAATGTCATCATCTGCATCATCTACATTAGATGTCAGTGGGGCCTTAAGTGTAATCAATTCTAGGACAAAAAGTGTTATCAACTCTCAAGAAAGTATGAAAGCTGCACAAACACTAGTTTTCAAGATTTAGTAAAAATCTTGGGTTCCTATTTCCACCCTCTGAGCTCAAGGCTTTACTCACAGAATCGTTCTTTCTCAGGAAGTATAGCATATGTTTGCAACTTAATATTTTAATCAGCTGGTTTCTTGTCTATAGAATTTGATGAGTCAAATATCCTTCTTTCATTTTATGCTGCCTTTGTCCTTTTTGGCCCACGCTGGTGGTGTTTACCTGCTGATACAAATTTCTCAGAAATTCTGAGGCTCTCCCATGTGTCATGTGGACTCACTCCTTTAAACAAGAATCTTCTCCACAGATTTTTCTTGAATAATTTTATCTCCCTGTTCAGCTCTTGGTGAGATAACTTAAGGGATCTGTGGTCTTTCTCTTCAATTTTCTGGAAGAATTTATTCAGACTTGTTTTTTGATTCCTCTAAATATTTGATAGAATTTATTAGTGCATCGCTCTGGGCATCAAATTTTTTCTGTGAGAAGGTTTTAGCTAGGAATTCATTTTTAAGTGAGTTGGTGCTTCTTTATTTAAAATAACAGCTAATCAAGTGAAAGCTAAAATCTGTTGTCTTTTCACATTTTTCCCCATAAGACACAACAGTGATAAACATAGCTAAATTAAAATGATGCTATGTTCTCTGTCAGAGCAGTTTTTAGCCCTAGTGTGAAATTGGAGATTATCATCTCAACTTTGTTCTTTAACAATTTTAAAATGTTATATTTTGCTATTTTTAATACTGGAAAACTGCATATGATTGATTTTTTTAAAGTCTCCATGCATGGTATCTCTTGACTAAAAGGAATCTGAATTGGTAAGTGCCCAAATACTAATATAGAGCCAAATAAAGAAAGATTCACTCACTTGAAGCTAGGGGTAACCACTTAGGAGTGTACAGTTTATATACATATGTGTGTGTACACATATATATATATATATAATTTTATTGTTGTTCAAGTACAATTGTCTCTATTTTCCCCCACCCCACAGATCCCCACCTCCCACCCTCAGCTTTGTCTGTGGGTCTTTTATACATGTTCCTTGATGACCCTTCTCCTTCTTCCCTCTGTTATCTCTCTCTCTCCTTTCCTCTGATTACTGTCAGTTTGTTCTTTATTTTCATGTCTCTTGTTCTATTTAGTACACTTGTTTGTTTCATTGATTAGGTTCCACTTATAGGTGAGATTACATGGTATTTGTCTTTTACTTCTTGGCTTATTTCACTTAGCACAATGCTCTCCAGTTCCATCCATGCTGTCACAAAGGAAATTCATTTGCTTTAATAGATTCAGTACAGTATAGGTTAGCTATTACTTCTTGAGTGAGATTTGATGGTATATACCATTCAATGACTTTGTCTACTTGTCTAAATTGTCTACTTTATTGTCATAAAACAGTCCACAATATTTCTTATACTTTTAATGGCTGTAATATCTATAGAAATAATACCTCTTTAAGTCAAGATATTGATCATTTCTATCTTCTCTATTTCTTAATCAGTCATGTTACAGGTGTATCAATTATGTTGATTTTTCTTAAACAAGTGGCTTTGGTTGAATTGATTTCTCTCTGTTTTTCTACATTTATGTCATGATATCCACTGATTTTTGTTATTTATTTTTTTCTTACTTAGCATATAATATACTCTTCTCAGTTTCTTCATGTGTAAGCTGAAGTAATTGATTGAGACCTTTCTTCCTTTCTAATATAATTATTGGTGCTATTCATTTTCCTCAAAATACTGCTTTAAATACATTCTACAAATGCTTACATGTGAATTTAAGATTGTTGCTAAGAGCATATCAAAGCCCAAAGTGCCTCATAAAGCAATTTCTTCCAAATTATTTGTTGTAATAGAGTTTGATTTGTGTAGGCAGTAAGTACCCAGAGGGGTGGAATGATAAAAAAAAGTATTTCTTTAAGAAAATAAGTATTTCATTTTATTTAATTGTATGAATGGTTGTTTTTTAATTTTCTGTTACTTGTAAAAAAACTCAATGCTAAATTTAAGTACTTTAGTGTATAACCATTTGTTAATAAAATTATTAATAAAATTAATTTCTGCCTATGTTTAATCTGGCTCCAGAAATCCACCTTCATACAGTTTCAGTATTATTATTTCAAATTTATATTGACCCTGCTGTTTTTTATATTTTCACTGCCAGCTGCCTTCGAATCTTTTGGAAGGCTATATTTTGTAAAGAATATTGTGCTACAAAAATCAAACTTAAAACATTATTTGAGAAAATTAAGCAGATACATTATATAAGTACTATGCAATTCACACAGAAAACAACCACTAAGATAAATGCAGAGAATTCTTTTATAAAGATGAGAGGCACAGTTTGTTTTATATGTGATTATTTGTACCTGTATCTCTGCTCCTTTGTAAATGATCTGAGGGTAGCGACTGTATTTCATTCTTTGAATTGTCCTCATGCATATGACAAGAATTGTGCTGATTTAGGCCATAGACAGCGATAATTAAAGATATCTAGAAGTTCTCTCTTAGCTTCTTTCTTAATAAATATTTTCTAATTTAAAAACTGAGACATGCACTAAATGTTTTTTTCTACCTAAGCAGAAAAAATGAACAAATTAACCTAAATCTTTAAGGAAAAATGTCGTTAGTTCAATGTATATCTATTGAACACCACTACATGCACGATGGTATAAATGCAAGTCTTTTCTTACTTTAGTATACTCCAAATATAAATAAGCTAAATTATTGGAGAAACTCTTCTTTACAAAAGTGAGAACTCTTCCCTCTTCCTAATCTATTTTCTTTTTTAAATTTATTTAATTATTGTTCAAGTACAGTTTTCTGTTTTTTACTCCCACCCCAGCCTACTTCCCCCCAGTGCTCCCCACTAATCTATTTTCTTGAACTTCCTTTATTCTCCAGTGAATGGAGTATTTTCCTTCTCCTTTCAAGTGGAGTCAGACATTGCTCCTACTGCTCAGTTGTTTGTTTATACTATTTTACCCGATGGAGAAATTGTTGCAGATACACAGGAACTTGAGATTGAAAACTGTTTTGCCAATAAGGTAGGTGTTTTGCTTAAGCCCTGTCCTTTTATCCAACTCTCTTTTTGAAGTGTGTAAAATAAGAACAATTGTACATTAAAAGACCGTCATATAGTGCTCCTAAAACTTGCCTCCAAAGGTCCTCTAAAGGCAGGGAATGATGCCATACCTTGAGAGATCTAGTGGGGTAGTCCAAATCAGATTGCCATTAGTGCAATTTTTTAAGTCTCTTGTTTTATCCTAAAACTTACATGAAATTAAGAATGTATTTTATTATAAACTTTTAATACCTTTAATTTTGAAATGTTTTGTTCCACATTTTTTAATTAAAATTGATGTTTCACAAGGATGTATCAATTTTATCTCATCATGCCAGCTTGACACACCTCCATGTACTACTACAGAAACCAGTAACTTGTGAGTTTAAATTTAGTTTGATAATACAGAACAAGGGGACATGTATGTACCCCATTTTGAGAAACACAGCCTGAGCACTCTAATAATGACTACAGAATAAAAACAACAGCTGCAAGTGAGATCTTCATATATTTCATAAAAACACATAGCTTTAAAGAGAAGCGTACTGAGGTATAAATAAGCACTATCCCAACAGACTGTGGCACTGTAATCTTAACATTAACAATCACACAGGATCCACCAACTTGAGGTATCTTTTAAAATATATATCTAGAAGGGCTTTTTAACATGGTTTTTTGGAGATTAAAACAATATGCATTTATAGCAAGTGAACATTTCTGTAATCAGAACTGTAGTTCATCTATATCTTAATATATATACTATGATCTAAAAAATACAGAAGGGATTCTGGTATAAATGTTCAATTCCACCTGCCTCGGAGAATGGAAGAAAGGATTCTATACTCAATTTGGAGGGTGGGGCGGTGGTCAGTCCCAGCCATCCTACAAAGGATGCCATTAAACCAGAACAGGTGTCCAAGAGCATAGTTTCTGTCCTGTTTAGATGTTCTGTGTGTTTTATATGAGCCAGAAGAAATTTCTGCTTTGAATTTCAATGCCCTCATTGATAATTATAGACAGTTAGTTGTTAAACCTTAGAAGGTCTGCGTTATGCTACAATTTCCAACACTCATGGTCTCTCTAGCAATGGTCTCTCTGTGGTGCAAGTCACATGAAAACTCTTCTGTAAAACCACAAACTTCCACGTAGAAGCTAAACTCCATACACATTTTATTCAATCACTTATGTCAAAAGTCTTTTAACTTATCATTGATCAGACATGGAGATCAGTTATGAAAAATAAGTAATTATAGATGAATATTTTATACTAAATATTTATACTAAATAGATGAGTATTTAGAAGAAAGTATAGCTTTTTTATTCACCACAAAAAAATTCTAAAAAGAGAACTATTAAAGTTAACAATTGAGGCCCCTACAAGTCAGACACTGACAGGACAAAGAGCAGAGTAAAGAGCGGGCTGAGAATGTGAAGAAGGATCCAGGTCAGTGTGAGACACCTGTTCCACCAAACCAATATACTTTCAATATTTTTTTCAATTTTGGTGGAGTAAAGAAAAACTGTTTTCTATTCAAAATATTTACCTTTTTTACCTCTATTCATATACCCCTTTTTTACTTTAAAAATAACAGATTTAGTATAAACATTACTTAATATGTAACAGTTTAAATTGCCTGTCATTTTTAGCTAGATGTAATTATTCATTGAGGATAACATTACTTAGTATAGGTTGGTACAGACTCTCAAAATATAAAGTCTTTTTTGGTTCTCATGTCCACAAAACATCTTATGTTTTCTAACATATCCACTTCTTAGCAAAATGTTTTTCAGTTGATTATAACTCTAAATAACTGACTTCATATGAGCATCCAAACATATTTTAATGAACTTAAGTTTTATAAAAATAAAAACACATGTTTAAAACAGAATTCCCCATAAGTAGCATTTTCATAAATAATGAACTATAGAGATGACTACTATAGCATCTTGAGGAAAAATCTGTTGCTTATTTTTTCATATATGTTTCATAATACATAAATCCCAACTATTACATTAATTCAGTAGATGGCATAACAGGATTATCATAGTTAAATTCAGCAACACAAGTCAAATATTATTCCATTAGATACACTGACTTTTTATTCCAATCCAAATCAGCTTTGAGTTCAAGAACCTAGGTTACCTGATGCCACTTAGTAACTATATTTTTAATTATTTTATGTTTTGACTATAAAAATCAGATTTTACCCAAACATAAGGAACCAACAGATTCACTTACCAATGAATCTCTTCCAGCCAGAGCAGAATCAAATATCTGAAAAAAAATTGTGTATGGACTTCCCATTATTTTATAGTTCTCATTCTTTATTCACTGTTCTTTGGATTTCTCAACCAATTAACTCTAAGGATAAATATTAGATGTTTCAGTTTTAAGACTCAATAAACCTCTAACCCTGATAAACATTATTACACTTCTTTAGAATGTCAGATGACTAAGACTGTCAGTGAGGGAAGACTTGAGTTGGCTGATCTCAGAGGTAAAGTGCAATTTTTCCCAGCATCTGCAAAATACACATATTCATCACAAAAACATTGCATAGAGAAAAGTCATCTGCAAGGTATTTTCTTTGGCATGTGTATTCTTGTCCCCATTCAGGATTCTAGTTCATTGTGATCAAAACCAATTTCTATTTCACCGGTTATATACGGAGTGGGAAACCTGCCTTAACTAGAGCCACATTTTCGGTTTACTCCAGAGATGCTTAACTGGTCATCCCTAGGTGGATTCACTTCTTAATCCTGCTCTAAAAAGGATGAATAGGAAGGAAGTATAGAGAGGACTAGGCCTAGCCTGAGGTAGAAGAGAGTTTGGGATTGTAATGGAAAATTTGCTGCTATAACCATATTCTCTTGACAGGTAAATTTGGGCTTCTCCTCAGCCCAGAGCCTGCCAGCCTCAGACACCAATCTGAAGGTCACAGCCACCCCTCAGTCCCTCTGTGCCCTTCGTGCAATAGACCAGAGTATGCTGCTCATGAAGCCTGAAGCTGAGCTCTCACCTCAATCAGTGAGTCCTATTTCTGTCTTGAATATTAGAAAATGCACATATGATAAGACCATTTTTGGAATTTGGAAGTTATAATTGCAAAGGACAAGTCCTTCAGCATGTCAGGTATAATGTATTGTTATGAATGAGTTGAAATTCATGCAGTTCCACAAAAGATAGTGCACAAGGGGCTCATGTATCATCTCATTTCATTCTCTATTATAATATATTCTCAGTGAAGGAACAGTCTTGCTCACCACTATATTCCCTGTGCCCAGCACAGGCCCTTATATATGAAAGATGCTCAACATATTTTAATGAATGAATAAATATATAATAGTTCTTTAAAGTAGGTTTTATTACCTCAATTTTATAAATGAAAAACAAAGCTAGGATCAACTAAGCAACTGTAGAAAGAATATGCCACAAACATATTTTAAAGGTGGAATTCAGACCTAATTTCACTCAGTGCCATTTTCACTGCACCACATTTCAAGTTCATATGTGAAATACCAGCTTTTTAAGCTTCCTCTAAAATGCAGGCACTTACTCACTGGTTTTAATTATGGACAAAAGAGAGTTTTCACTAAAACTTGTCTTTTAAAGATGTCTTTCATAATAAAACATTTTCAAAAGGGCCCTACAATTTCCAGGTCTCACGGTCCAATTTATTTAATTAACAGATATTCATGACATCTTGACTATAGGGTGGATAATGTGTTAGAAATCGTTCTAATGGTAAACAATCAGATGTTGTCTTTTACCATTTTAGACTTACAGTCTTGTGAGGTATTAACCAAACAAACAAGCCAACCACAAAAACATATAGAGATACCCAGTTTTGATAAGAATAATAAAAAAGAAAGAAACAGGATATTGAGATAAAGGAAAAAAGAGCTGAACAATTTTTGACATAGTGACTAAGGGTGTCTTCTTAGATGGTCAGATAATGAAAGGACTGGGGCAAGCATTACACTGAATGAAAGTAGTATGCCTGAAAGTGTTCCAAAACAGGATATGGCAGTCACTTGTCATGTAGTTGTGACAGAGGGGGATGGTAGAGACCATAGGTGGAATGGAAAGTAAGGAAGAACGTGACAAGTTCTGTCCTTGGAGTGCAGATTGGCATCAACAATAAAAGCAGTAGTAAATTACTGAAAAGTTCCAAGCAGGAGAGTGACAATTTACATTTATCTATTAAGAAGATCCTGTTTGCTGCTGAAAGTATGAGAATGAAAGAATAAAAAAATTGAAGAGGTTGTAGCTCAAATAAGAAATGACAGTGACCAGAGTAGAAGGTCCACATGGGGTCCAGCATGTGTTTAATGGCCTTTACACTATATACCTGCACAGGTGGCCTTATCTGGGGCAAAAGCTGAACTGAATTGATTTATTTCAGAGACAATAAGATGCACTTATTTTTTTTCTCAATTTAAATGTGGTCCTAAAATAGTAGGCTTTAAAGATTTTTTTTAAAAACTTGGTAAGAACTTAATCATATAAAGTGGGAAAGAAAAATAAATCAAGTATTTACAGACATTATTCCTGGATGATGGAATTATAAGTGGCTTTTGTTCTCTTGTCACACTTCTCGGTACTCGCCATATTTTCTGCTTTTTTTTAAAAGGAAGCATCTGGACTGTCAGACAGGTGACCTGGTTGTATTGTGACACAACCAAAATGGGATCTGAGACTGATCGATTAATTTGGTTTCTTTTTATATTAATTTCTTTTTTCTTTTTTATACTCATATATTTGTTTTTCTATTATATTTTGTTGCTTATGCTATTACAGTTGTCCCAATTTTTCTTCCTTTGCCTCCCTCCACCTTTGCCCCCACCCCACACTCCCACTGTCAGTCCCCACACCATTGTCCATGTCCATGGTCATACATACACATTCTTTGTCTAATCCTTCACCTTCTTTCATCCAGTCCTCCCCTCCCCTCTCCTCTCTGACAGCTGTCAGTCTGTTCCGTATTTCTATGCCCCTGATGCTATTTTGCTCATTTGTTTATTTTGTTCATTAGATTCCATGTAAGATCAAATGCAATTAGTTTTTTACAAAAGGCTTAGGATCCATAACCTTTAATATCTCTCCATGATTCTTTGTATTGTTTTTCATAATGTTTTCATGGGAGTGTTAAACACTACGATCTTTTAAATCCCAGACTGAATAGTATCAATTTAAAATTTTAAAAAACTACACAAAAGTTTTCTTTTCTCAATTTTTCAGGTCTATAATTTGTTACCAGTAAAGAAGCACTTTAATGCTGGATACGAAAGTAACGCGGATGGAGAGGCTGAAGGATGCATCAGTGTGAAAGACATAATTCACAATGGAATCCTTTACTCTCCAAGGCAGGTCTTGGATGGCGGCTGGGATGACGATGATGTTCACAGTATCTTTCAGGTAATTCTTTGTCCTAAAAACATAACCAAAATTGTTCTCTAGATCCTCATAAGCTGGAGAGCAAATAGACTTCTGAGCTGTAGAATCTGATCCTGAACCTGCCCCTGTTCCCAAACAAAACAATGATTAACTGAAAAACATTAAAACCTCAAATACATAGCCAACTTTGTATGGATACAGATATTTAATCATGAATTTTGGGGCACTTTAAATAGTGTATGGTATACTTTTAGGGCCCACAGCTTTAATTAAGTTGATCCCAAAGCTAATTTCTCACCACATGTGAGGAAGACATTTTCCATGGTGCCTCTGATACCTCTGGAAAGGTGAATACTCAATGGAAGCCATTATAGGAGTCATTTGCACAATAAAGGCATGTGGGATGAATGAATACACAAACTACAATACTTGAGCCATCGCCCTTGGTGCAGTAAAATTTCAGGAAACCGAAAGTAACCTTTCGTGAAGAAAAGATCTACAATACTTGGGGTAGAGATGTTAGCATGCTTTAGGGATATTAGATAAAATGAATGTCTTTGGGATTAACTATAAGTAGGTAGAGTTATAAAAGGGAGTTTATTCAGGTTGTGAGACTAAATTTGATCACTTCCAAAAAGGAATAAAAGGTCTCATTATGCCTGGAGGGAAACATGTTATTGATCCGTAGAGGCACAACCTAGCTGTGACCAATTTCAGCTTCCTCCTTCCGTAATCTTCAGAATCATAAGGTGGTGGAAGAATACAAAGAGGACTCTAGATTGATTAGCTCATTGTTTCATCTTTAACATTTATTTCTTTCTCCTTGTTCATATTGCTACCACCACTGGCCACTGTGCCTCAGAGTCCCACAGTTTCCAATATATTCTAAGACAGGACAGCTAGTAATATTTAACTGTGGCTACTATTGAAGAAAGAGGAAGTTGGAGACAGGTGGACTCTACAAATAAGGCTACTGCAGGCATGTGTGTTTTGGATGCAGAGGTTCAAGACAGTTTAAAAAATTGAGAAAGAAAGGAGGAAAAAATGAATTAAAGAAGGGATGAGTAAAGCAGAACCATTCAGGGAAAGCTATATTTCCCAATAAAACATAAACAAAGCAAAGTTTACTAAGACTGAAAAAAATCTCCAATCCTACAAATTAAAAAAATTAAAAATTACTCTCTGCAATGAAGCTATCAGGTGTGTATGTTTGTATACATATACACATAAATGACACATATATGTGCATGTGTTATACATATATAAACACATGCCTGTGTGTTCATTTGTATGTATATGTTATATACATATATATGTTATATTTGTTTGGGGAGGGAGGGAAGAAAACAACCAAGGCTAAAATACTCAGTTTCCTGTATACAAAAGATAATTAAAGAGGCATCAGCTGAGAGTACACAAAAATTTAGAAATAAGAATCAGAAGAAGTGGTTTCTAATTCTAATTTCCATTCATGAACTGGATACTCTGAAGTTTTTGTATCTTTATTTTTACTTATAAAATAGCTCTCTTCTCTATTATGTAGAATTTTCATGATCCTATGAGCTATATATATATAAATATATATATATATTAGTGAAAGTATACTGCAAACTTAAGAAAATATTCCAGTCTTAGGACTGGATTAGCAATATGCTCTAATAATTTTCTTCTAGTCTGCAGGATTAAATATTTTTACCAACTCAAAAATCCACAAGCCATATTTGTGTCAGCAGCTTGAAGGATTTCCAGTCTCATATTTGACCAATGTATATTATTCAGGTAAGATTTACTTGTCTGCTAGAATAACAGAACATTTTGTTATGTTATATTGTTCTTATAAAATAATAGAAAACAAAACAACAAAAAAGAAAAATGATTCTTCACTAGGTTGAGTGGGCATAAAAATTGTAACTAGTTTTCTTTTTTTCATTATTAGAAAATTTTATTATTCACTTTTCCTTTAAACATGTGGAATACCATAAATCACGTAAAAATAATCTTTAAAGTAGATGATCAGTTATATATATAAACTATCTTTAAATATTCTATTTCATTCTCCCCAACCACATTATTTTCTATTGTCATTCATTTACAGTTGTCCCAGTTCTTCCCCTTTTGCTCTCCTGTGTCCTGCCCATGCACCCCCTCCTACAGTCAACACCCACTGTGTTGTCTCTGTCTATGGGTCCTTTATATATGTTCCTTGACTTGGCCCTTCCTCATCCTTCCCCCATTATGCCCTTCCCCTCTCCTCTGGTCACTGTCAGTTCGTTATATATTTCCATATCTCTGGTTCTGTTTTGCTGTTGTTTTGTTGATTAGGTTCCACTTATAGGTGAGATCATTATCTTTCACCACGTGATTTATTTCACTTAGCATAATGCTCTCCAGGCCCATCCATGCTGTCATGAAAGATAGAAATTCCTTCTTTTGTTCTACTGTGTAGTACTCCATTGTGTAAATGCACCACTATTTTTTGATCCACTCATTTACTGATGGGCACCAAGGCTGCTTCCGGCACTTGGCTATTGTAAATCGGAGAACCATCGTTCCATTTTTACCCCAAATACTCAGCAATACTCTATACAAATTTTACATTTTGGTATTTATTACTTATTCTTTAATTCTCAGTTATACCACCTTACTCCTGTACCTTATTATTCTATAACTAAATTATTACTTATAAACCACATTAATTTACTTTCTTTGCCTCTGGTCTTTCTCTACTTTGGTCTGTTCCATTTACTGTGAAGGGATTTGATCCTTGAACACTGCTTTTATCATGTCACTTATCTCTCTATACATAGTACCTACTTCCAGGATTTGCAGAACTATTATACTTAAGGTTTTAAAAGGCCATGTCTAGCTCTATTTTATATATAACATATATTTTACATTTTATATATATTATACATATTATCTTTATACATCTTCTGATCTATGGAATAACACTTTTTAATCAAGCTAATGTCTGCCCTAACAAATCTAATTTATTTGTCCTAATCTTCATGGTATTTTATTATATAATTATACCTACTATTTACTCAACTATGTTAAACACAATCCCAAAACAGACATTTCTACTCCTAGGGGTAAGTTGTTTGGACCATCCCTTTATATTTCTGTGTGCATACTGGGATAGCCATTGCCTTGGAACACCTTCTCCATCCTCCTGTTTCTCCTCCTTCAATGATCATTCCAATGTCTGCTTTGAAAAAGTCTTTTTTGGCCAATCTAAAGACCATTTTCTGTCCTTTATTGAGTCTTTGTTGTCTATAAAATACTGCAGTATATCCTATTTTTATGTCTCCATATCTCATTCACTGTTGCTTTTTTTTAATCATCCCTAAAATCCTCTTGCAGAAGCTACTATCAAGCCTTCTAGTTTGAGTCTTACCACAAATGGAGAACATGCGATCATCAGTTCAGTGTAAAAGCAATGTTTGGTGTATTAAATTACTTGTTATTCTTCCCTCCACCAGTTGAGTAATCAGCTCAAGGAAATATATATTTGTTTTCATATCTAGAGAAAAATACATTCACCTCTATACTGAGGAAGTAATAGGATAAGCCTTCCTGTATAAGCAACAAGTTTGTAGGTTAAATTGTTCCAGTAATAAATATTCACTGAGCAGCTGCCCTTATTCCATTTGATTATTAGGCAACTATAAAAAACTAATGATAAAATGAGGTTTACATTGGGCCCTGAATGTTGTCTTTTCATAGCGCCTTCACCAAGCATTTCTGTAAGCTATGATGCTCCAATTTACCCTGTGATGGTAGGAGGAGCCCCTCCAGCAGAGGGAGTACAAAAGACAGTCCGGAAGTATTTCCCAGAGACCTGGATCTGGGACTTGGTGCCACTTGAGTAAGTTGAGCATTGCCTGGAATTTAGTTTAAGAGAAGATCTGCATTTTCCTCTGTGATTCCAGTGTTATCATTTGTTCCCGATCCTTTTAGTTCTACTGTGTTCCTTTCTGATAAATATTTAGGTTAATTGTTCGTTGCTCTTGTGGTGAAACAACGCAACTTTTTGTCTAATTTGGTCTTGAGGTACCTAAAATAATAGAAAGCAGGAAGCTAGTCTCATGCCTAAAAAGAAACAAAAAACTTTCAGAGACTTCAGTAATAGTGACAAAATTTATATAGTTTAATATTTACCACACTAGGTTTCTAAGTTATCATGCTTTAGGATCAGCCATGGTACATGCAAAAAAAAAAAAAAAAAAGGAGGGGGTGGGGATTCATTCACTGTCCTCCTCTTTTTATTTTCATTTAGTTCATCAGGTAACAGTGAGCTGGCAGTAAAGGTCCCTGACACCATCACACAGTGGAAGGCCAGTGCACTGTGCTTGTCTGGAAAAACAGGTCTTGGCCTCTCCCCCATCATCTCTCTTCAAGTCTTCCAGCCCTTCTTCCTAGAACTCACTCTCCCCTACTCTGTGGTGCGAGGAGAAGCCTTTACACTTAAAGCCACTGTGTTCAACTACTTGTCCCACTGCATCCGGGTAAGAACACTTCTCAGGAGATGAGCAAAATTAAAAGGAAGGAACACAATCACCTAGGTCTCCTAGGTAATATCTGTAAATCATAAATGAATGTGATGGAACTTAATTTTGGAATGGAACTAAGAGCAAACTACCTGACAGGTCCACGGCAGTAAGGTTATATTCATTTGGGGTTCTATATTATCTGTGTATTCCTAATTTCAGGTATTATTTCCACTTGATTACTCCATTTTTCACTCTACTAAAAAAATATTTTCCTTGTGTTGGTACAACATTTATCCTAATTCCTGTCAGTTTTTAATTCCATTATTGTAAACATCTAAATGACAAAGTATTTGACAGGATTTCCCATTTGAGCAATTTCTCAAAGCCTCTCGATTAGTATGCATTGTCCTTTTAGGCTTCAGTCCCCTATTACTGACCCCCTGCTTGTGGGTGGGTGTGGGGGACAGGTCAGCATAGAGCTGGAGGAGTCTCCTGCCTTCTTGGCTGTCCCAGTAAACAAGAATGAAGAATCTCACTGTATCTGTGGAGATGAGCAGAAAACTATATCCTGGGCTGTGACCCTCAAGTCACTGGGTAAGTGGTAATAATTTGCTTTCCTCTCTGACCCAAATAAATGTCTTTTTTCTTTAACAATGATCAGTTGAAATAAAAACATTATGTATATTGAGGAAATTGAAAAACAAAAGAACATTCACTATAGTGTATGTTCTCCCCAGGAAAAGTGAATTTCACAGCAACTGCGGAAGCCCTGCAGTCTGCGGAATTGTGCGGCAATGAGTTGCCTCAAGTCCCAGCGCTTGGACACAAGGACACAGTAGTCAAGCCCTTATTAGTTGAGGTATGCAGGTATACTTTCTCAGATGTTTATTATGTAATAGCATACTATCTAATATGTATGTGACAGTGACATTTAATTCCCATACGGATGTATCCACAACTCAATTTTATACTAAGATTTTCTCCTCTCCTAAAGGGTGACTGATTTTTCTCTTATATATCCAGTGTCACTTAATCTTCTTTATTTTTTTTCATGTAAAGCCTGAGGGAATAGAAAAGGAGGAAACTTTCAACTCACTCCTCTGTGCAACTGGTAAGTGTCAAAAATAAACAAAATTCTCATGTTTCACCACTTGCCAAAGTATGCGGTTATAGAATGCCCTTGGGAGAATGTTGTCCGTTGGGGAAGAAAACTGTATACTTTTCCATGTACAAATCTAAGGACATTTGATGAAAAACAACTTTTTTCCTGATGAAAGCATAGGGAAGTTAAAAGGCCCAAAAGGTCTTGGCTAATATTAAGGACAAAAGCTGACGTGTGTGGGACAGGATTTCTGCCAATACAAAACTGTGTCTTCCATACTTCTCTCTAAACGATTTTCAAAATACTGAAATATCTGTGTGACATTAACACTATTATTCAATTAATTGTTTAAACGTACTCAGATTTTTGTTAATTTAAACACTAATTATAAGAAAACCTTTAGGTCTACTCTGCTTTTGGAGCACATCCAGCACACTCTATTCTCTGGAGTCTTTTCACTTTTTGTTTCTTTTTCCTGGAAGTCTTTTCCCCAGATAGCTATAAATCTTACTCAATGAGTTACTTTAAGTCTCCAGTCACCTATGATTTTTTTTAATCAATGAGCTTTTTAGTAGGCAGTCCCCTCCCTCTACCCTGCACTTCCTGATTTGACTTTTCTTATTAGCTTACCCATATAAACACTCTACTTTAATTTTCTCTTTAATAAAACTTAACATCTACCATATTAAATATTGATTTGTTATTGCTCCCATTAAAATAAAAATTCCAGGAATTCAGGAGATTTGTTTTGAAAATTGCTGTATCATACTTAAAACAGAACCTATATTTGACACACACTTCCTACATATCTATGGCATAAATGTATTTTTTCTAAAAACTAACAATATTAGAAATTAACATAAACAATGAAGAAAAGGGAATAACTATACCATATGATATATGCATCAGAAATCTATAGAAATTTAGCACAAATATATATGCTTAATATGAACTACACTATGAGAAGAATCGTGGCTTTAGGAGAAATTTGGATTGCATCAAAGAAATTATGTAAGAAACAAGAGAAATGAGAGTTTAGATCTTGATATATAGAAGGAAAATATTCAAACAAAAACAGAACATATCTCTCATGTTTAACTCCCTTATATATGTCTTTTTTCATTAGAAACTGGAGCACCTGAAAAGTTGTCACTAAAAGTTCCTTCAAATGTGGTTGAAGGATCTGCCAGGGCCACGTATTCAGTTTTGGGTGAGTCTCCCAGCCCAAAGGAAGCGGCTGTCTATCTCCGTAATTCTACTGCATGGGGCCTCACCATCCGTGGTTAATGAGATTACTGTCTCTAGTCACTGGAGTGAGAAAAAAAGCACTAAACTAAGTATTGCATTGTGTATTCATCAGAAAGGGGATGGAATAGATGTTGTGATATATATATCTTGATATATTTTTAAAAGTATGAAGGGTCACCTCTCTGTGTCCTTATTGTCAAAGGATTGAGTATGTGGTGGTGCTTCTTAATATATTGGAACATAGTTGGTTTATACCAGACACGTCTGTCATCAGGAAAGATGTATCCTGTTATTCAGTTTTCCTTGTTTTATTCCTCCGTTCAACCATCTACTTTACTTTTCCTCCTCCTCTCTTTTCTTTCTACTTCTTGTGTTTCTTCACCTCCTATGCTTTTGTGTCCTCCCCTCCATTAAGTGAGTTGATCTCTCACTTAGCTAGTATCTATCTTCCCATACAAAAAAAAAAACAAACTTGAAGTTCTTTTGATTTTTCTACACCTTTCATTCCCCAGGTGATATACTAGGCTCTGCAATGCAAAATCTTCAGAATCTCCTCCAGATGCCTTATGGTTGTGGGGAGCAAAATATGGTCCTTTTTGTCCCTAACATCTATGTTTTGAACTATCTGAATGAGACACAACAGCTGACAGAGAAGATCAAGTCCAAAGCCGTTAGCTACCTCATTAGTGGTAAGAGATTACCCCAACACGAGAAATGTTAATTGAGTCCCAAAATATCTCCTTTAGGGAACTCAAATCTGTATTTCTTTGGTTAAGATTTGATCATTATCATTGCTGTAATATCCAATAAAATGTCCCACTATAGAATCAGAAAATTCATTAGCATCATTAAGTCTTAGAAATATCTTGATAAAAATAACAGTTGAGTCCCTATGACTCCTCAACAAGTATTGAGAAAAAAACAGTAATCCCCCATTGTCTCTGCTGTTTCACAAATCTATGAAAACTTCTTTTTCAGGGTATCAAAGACAGTTGAATTATAAACACAGCGATGGTTCATACAGCGCCTTTGGGGATCATGACGGTACAAGTCAGGGAAATACTTGGTAAGACAATTATTTCTATGTGCTCTTTGTAGATCCATAATATTTCAGAATTATGGAAATAGTTTTTCTCTGGTACTTGGAATTCTTTTTACGGAAATCTGTTATCCTTTAAAGACCTGTATGTGTGTTATCACACTGGGTGATCTCACCATTCATCTGTGAAAGCTTACCTGATCTGACAGCACAGTACATAGCAGTGAAATAAGGATCCCCCACAATGGCAATGTAAGGCAGAAAGTGTCATAATGAGAAGTGATCAAGGAAGAAGCTTCTACATTATATAGTAAGAAAGGGGACCCTGGAGAAGACAAAAGATTGTAATGTAGTAAAATCATTCAGAAAATGGGAGTTTGGGTGGTGAGAAGGCTTGGAGTCTCCAACAAATATTTCATGAGAAAAAGATAAGGAAAAAGCATCAACTCTGGAGAAACCAACAAAATTGAGAGATTTACAAAAAAAGACTTCGAGTTTTGGGAACCAACAAGAGAATATTCAGTGTTCTAGTATCATTTTGTCCCCAAATCGCCCCCATTGATCTCCTTCACTGAATTATGAAAATCGGTGTCTGGAGGCAGTGCACAGAGTGAGCTGGTCCTGATGGCTCGTCTTCTTTGCTGAACAGGCTCACTGCATTTGTGCTTAAGTCCTTTTCTCAAGCTCGGTCATACATCTTTGTGGAGGACTCACACATCACGGATTCCCTCACCTGGCTCTCACAGAAGCAAAAGGAAAATGGCTGTTTCCAGCACTCTGGATCACTGCTAAATAATGCCATTAAGGTGACGCCTTTAACATTGTTTCAGTCCTAACGATAGTAACATGTCAGAGGAATTATGCTCTATTCATTCCTCAAGTCTTGGAGACAGAGCTTTGAGGGAGGATGGTAGGCTCTAAAGCTTCTTAAATCTAGCAATTAATTAGCAGCTTTTTTATTGAGTAAGAACAGTGTGCAAAAAAAACCCCAATATATTACTAAAAGTTAGGGAAAAGGATTCAGGGCAGATCTGAGAATTTTAGGGAGGGAGGAGAAGGTGAAAAATCAATAATATTACTCAAATAAAGATACTTTCTAGTGAAGATGCCCAAGATGAAATATAGAGTTAGCTGACTCTGGCTACTTAATATTGAAGTGCTTCAGTGTCTCTGCCTCTGACTCTTACAGGGTGGAGTAGATGACGAGGTGACACTCTCTGCCTACATCACCATTGCTCTGCTGGAGATGCCACTGCCTGTCACTGTATGTACTAGCACACACCCTGTACCTGCTTCTCACAAATGTTAAGGGGGAATAATCATAAATCTCTGAGAAAAATGAGTTGTGGTTTTGTGTTACTTAATTTTGGTATATTGCACTGGAACATAAAGAACTACATCCATTTGGATGCTGCAGAGGAAATTATTCTCTGGTCCAAACTGTGAGGTTGCACGGCACGTTTGGGCTTTTAATCAGGGATTAGCCTGGGAACAGTTCATTATCCTAGTTCTGCTATCTTAAGATGTCCTTTCATCTTCTTCACAGCACCCAGTTGTCCGCAGTGCTCTATTCTGCCTGGAAAGTGCATGGGCATCCACTTCAGAAGCCCAAGGAAGTTTTGTCTATACCAAGGCATTATTGGCCTATGCCTTTGCCCTAGCAGGAAACCAGGCCAAGCGAAGTGAGCTGCTTCAATCACTGGACAAAGAGGCTGTAAAAGAAGGTGAGAGCCACTCCTGAAAAATTTACTTCCAAAAATCACCAGTTATCAGAAGAAGGGAGAGGACCTATTGAACTCACACTTATTATTCTATATTATTCTAATTATATTATATTTAGTATATTATAGTATATTATTTATCATATATGTGATGTTATATTCATTACATTATATTATATTACATTGTGATATAACAAGAATAATTATCATTGATCAAAAATAATTCTCTAGGTAACATGAATCATTCTGCCAATTCATACCTTATTGACTTTATACAGCCCCAATTCTAATATCATACAAGTATGTAATGAACAGAAAAGCACAATGGGATTTACTGGGAACTTAATTTACTTTCTTGGCAAAGATTTGATAGATCAGTGATTACTTACTGATTTTTTTTACTTCATTTATATCAGTTCACTAGGTAAGCTCTATAATGATTTCACTAATTAGATTCTGAAACCATTCTCTAAGCTTATGATTCTTTTTTTTTTTTTTTTCATTTCAAAGAGGACTCAATCCACTTGCAACGTCCTAGGAAACTTCAAGAAGCTCAGACATTCTATTATCAACCTCGGGCTCCTTCTGCTGAAGTGGAGATGACATCTTACTTGCTCCTTGCCTATCTTACCTCCCAGCCTGCCCCATCTTCAGAAGACCTGTCTGTAGCCTCACGTATTGTAAAATGGATAACCAAGCAACAAAACCCCAATGGAGGCTTCTCTTCCACTCAGGTCTGTGGAGAGACTCTAGGAAGAAAAGATACCTATATAGATACAAACATATTCTGAGTTGAAAAATTGTAGAGTGTTTCTGATTCATACTTTCTTTATTTCTCCATCACCACAAAGGTTCAAGCCTCGTTATTATATATATGGATTACTGCTCTGTCCTCCATACAGTCCCCTATCTTTTCTTTTTGGTTGGACCCTTAACTGTAAAATAGACCAATCTTCCTAATGTAATGTTTTTATAACATTACTTTCCTGATAACATAAATATTTTTTATTTTTTATTTTAATTGTAGTTCAAGTACAGTTTTCTGCCTTTTCCCCCACCCCAGACCACCCTTCCAGCCTTCCCCACTTCCCTCCTGTTTCTACCCCACCCTGTTATTGTCCATCTGTCCTTTATACTTGTTCCTGTAAACCCTTCCCCTTTTCCCCTGAAATTCCCTCCCCTCTCCCCTCTGGTCACTGTCAGCCTTTTCTCTATTTCAGTATCTTTGGTTATATTTTGCTTGTTTGTTTGTTTTTGTTGATTAGGTTCCTGTTAAAGGTGAGATCATATGGTATTTGTCTTTCACTGCCTGGCTTATTTCACTTAGCATAATGCTCTCCAGTTCTATCCATGCTGTCATGAAGGGTGGGAGCTCCTTCTTTCTTTCTGCTGTGTAGTATTCCATTGTGTAAATGTACCATGGTTTTTTGATCCATTCATTTACTGATGGGCACATAGGTTGCTTCCAGCACTTGGCTATTGTAAATTTTGGTGCTATGAACATTGGGGTGCATAGCTTATTTCGAATTGGTGTTTCAGGGTTTTTAGGATATAATCCTAGCAGTGGAATTGCTGGGTCAAAAGGCAGATCCATTTTTAGTTTTCTGAGGAAATTCCATACTGTTTTCCATAGTGGTTGCACCAGTCTGCAATCCCACCAACAATGCATTAGGTTCCCTTTTCTCTGCAACCTCTCCAATACTTGTTGTTTGTTGCTTTTTTATGATGGCCATTCTGACCAGTATAAAGTGGTATCTCAGTGTGGTTTTAATTTGCATCTCTCTGATGGCTAGTGGTACTGAGCATCTTTTCATGTGTCTCTGGAGCCTCTGTATGTCCTCCTTGGAGAAGTGTCTGTTCAAGTCTTTAGCCTTTTTTTAAAAGATTTTATTTATTTAATTATTTAGAGGGAAAGGGAAGGAGAGAAGGAGAAAAATATCAATGTGTGGTTGCCTCTCATGTGTCCCTTTCTGGGAACTGGCCTGCAACCTAGGCATCTGCCCTAATTGGGAATCGACCCCTGATCCTCTGGTTTGCTGGCCCACACAGACCCACACAGGCTCAATCCACTGAGCTACACCAGCCAGCCTTTGCCCATTTTTTTAATTGGGTTGCTTGTCTTCTTAGAGTGGAGTCATGTGAATTCTTTATATATTTTGGAAATTAAACCCTTGTCTGTGGTATCATTGACAAATGTTTTCCCATACAGTTGGTCCTCTTTTTATTTTAATACTGTTTTCTTTAGCCGTGCAGAAGCTTTTTAATTTGGTGAGGTCCCATTTGTTTATTCTTTCCTTTATGTCCCTTGCTTTAGGGGAAATATCAGTGAAGATGTTGCTGCATGGAGTGTCTGAGATTTTCCTGCCTATGTTTTCCTCTAGGACTTTTATGGTGTCACAACTTATATTTAAGTCTTTTATCCACCTTGAATTTATTTTTTGTATAGTGTAAGTTGGTGGTCGAATTTCATTTTTTTTGCATGTAGCAGCCTAGATCTCCCAATGCCATTTGTTGAAGAGGCTATTTTTACTCCATTTTATGCTGCTGCCCCCTTTGTCAAAAATTAATTGACTGTAGAGATTTAGGTTTATTTCTGGGCTCTGTTCTGTCCCATTGGTCTATGTGCCTGTTCTTATGCCAGTACCAGACTCTTGATTACAGTGTCCTTGCAATACAGTTTGGTATCAGGTATTGTGATCCTTCCTACTTTGCTCTTCTTTCTCAAAATTGCAACAGCTATTCGGGGCTGTTTATGGTTCCATATAAATTTTTGAAGTGTTTGTTGTATAGCTGTGAAATATGCCATTGGTACTTTAATAGGTATTGCATTGAATCTATAAATTGCTTTTGGTAGTATGGACATTTTGATGTTAATTCTTCCAATCCATGAACATGGTATACGTTTCCATTTGTTTGTGTCTTCCTTGATTTCTTTCTTCAGTTGATAACATAAATATTTTTATCCAAAGACTAAAATTATGTAATGCTTTACCTAAAATATTTCTTCTTTTTGGTGACATGAGCATTTCTTTCTCCTTAGGCTGACCCCTTTACTTTTTCTGGAATTGGCTCACTCCCTTTTCTGTGTCTTCACTTAGAACACTTCCCACACTTGATGCTCCTCTTCTGTCTATATAAACTTTTCTTCTTATTTTATATAATCATATTTCTTGCCTTCTTTATAGTTTTGTTAGTATTGTAGCCCCAATTTCTTCAGCCTTCTCTGAATTTTTACAACAAATGTTGTTATATAAGTTTATAAACTTTTGAAATAACCTCTGCTTTGTGTCAAATATTCGAGTCTTATTTCTATATGTACATTGCAAGTTATTGAATGAGGACTCTTCTTCATTTTCCCCCAGATTACCTAGAATAACTCATGATTAATACCATGACTGAGCTAAATTGAAATTCAGTTAATGAACTGTGTTTATAAATGAATAACTATGAGAGAGAGTAATATTGGTATGATTTACTTCTAGTATAATGTTGTAACCTTCCTCTCCAGTGATTTCTACACCCATTTTTTTCAGGATACAGTGGTAGCTCTTCAAGCCCTTTCCAAATATGGAGCAGCAACTTTCACTAAAAGGGAGAAAGCAGCTACAGTTACCGTCAAGTCTTCAGAGACCTTCTCAGAAGAACTTCAAGTAGATGAAGGCAATCGCCTATTGCTGCAGGAGGTTGCATTGCCAGAGATTCCAGGGGAGTACAGCACAACAGTGTCAGGGTCAGGATGTGTGTACCTCCAGGTGAGACTGCCAGGGTTTAGGGGATGTTACAAATGGGGAAAAAAGTCTCAAGAATTAGGTTTGAATTGAAAAATAGAAAGGAAATGTGTGCTAAGGGAAAGTATGAATCACATGGAAGAGATAGACTATTTGAGTGCAAAAATAAATAATTCTCTTTTTTATTTTATTTAATTTTTATTTATTTATCTTTAGAGGGGAAGGGAAGGAGAGAGGGAGAGAATGTATCAATGTATGGTTGACTCTCGTGCATCCCCTGCCGGGAACTGGCCTGCAACCCAGGCATGTGCCCTGACTGGGAATCGAACCGCAATCCTCTGGTTCGCAGGCCCACACTCAATCCACTGAGCTACACCAGCCAGGGCTAAATAATTCTTTTCAATTTGTTGTAGACATCCCTGAGATACAATGTCCTGCCCAAGAAAGAAGGGAAAGTTCCCTTCACCCTGAATGTTGATACTTTCCCCAAGAATTGTGATGGAGTAGATGCTCGCAAGAAATTCTGGATTCACATCAACATTAGGTAAATTCTAAATCACTACCACAATTTTTGTAGAATATGATCAATTGATTTTCTTGCGTGGGAGAATGCTATTATCCAATGGCATACGTGATGTAGATGGAATTCTTGCAATATATATTAATGAGAAAATATTCTTCATTCTTACTGAAAAGATTTAACATTGAGAATAAAATGTTGCCATAGCTGCAGAGTGCAATTTCATAAAGATGGGTTTTTCAAGCAACCATAGCAGAGGAAAATAAAATAGATGGAGAAGCTGAGTGGTTGGTAGGTATAGGGAACACTAGAAATAAAGGAGAAGGAAAGATTTCTATCTTGATGAATTCTGAAGAATTTTATTTGAATACCTTGTCCCTGTGCTTTCACTCCACAGTTATACTGGGGAACGACCCAGCTCCAACATGGTCATCATCGATGTAAAGATGGTATCCGGCTTCATACCTGTGAAACCATCAGTGAAAAAGGTAAACCCTAAGTCCCTTATGGATAGAAGAGTCATGATAAATGTTGCCATTTATGCTTATCAATTTTCTTTTATTGATTCAGTTTTCAAGAGGTTTACTCCCTTTAACTTGCTTTTCTAGAAGATGTTTCCATCATTTTAATAGTGGATATCATTGTTATGTGGTCTCAAATATAAGACGTAGTTCATAAATATGGTTTATAGTATTCCAGCAGGCCCTGAGACACTAGGGGTCTGTGGAAAGGTATCAAATTACCTTCCACATATTATATATGTATATGCATACACAGTGGGGCAAAAGTGGGTTTGCAGTTATGAATACATGAAACAGTTTATTCTTATGTTATTAATTATTAATTATTATATTATTTTCCATAAAAACAACAGTAAACCAACTTTTGCCCCACCCTCTGTACTATATATGAAATAATATATTCTGAAGAAATCAAAATGAGTAGTTGGGTGTTTCTGAGCAACCATTTGGATTTTAAAAACCTGAAAACTGTGGTCAGGCTAAAATTTCTTCATCCTGTGCCTGTCTTATCCTCCTGGTCAACAGCTCCAAGAAAAACCTCAGATTCAAAGGACCGAAGTGAGCATCAACCATGTCCTGATATACTTGGAAGAGGTAAGATTTCGCTGTAACTCTGCTAGATCTGGGAGAACCACTGGAGGTTCCAACAAGCTGGTACAGAGTCCAAATAGTGTTTTTCAAATACACAGATGAAGGAGAACATAATTACTTATGGAGATGAAGATAGGAGTGGTCAACAAGGCTCAATTTACTACATTGGACTGTCCATAGAATTGTCTCTTTTGCCCTTCTTTTATCTGTCACTGAGTGTGTTTTGCAAGTCCCCAAATGTCCCATTCTTTCCACAGTTTTCGTTACAAATAAATAACATAATCATAGGGTTTGACAATATGTTAAGAAGAGAAGATGATACTCTAGCTGGTGTGATTCAGTGGATTGAGCACCAGCCTGCAAACCAAATGGTCACTGGTTGGATTCCCAATCAGGGCACATGCCTGGGTTGCAGGTCAGGTCACCAGTAGAGGGCATGTGAGAGACAACCATACACTGGTGTTTCTCCCCCTCTCTTTCTTCCTCCCTTCCCCCTCTCTGAAAATAAATAAGTAGAACCTTTTTTTTTTTAAGAAAAGAGGATGATAATTGGTAACTAAGTAATTCTTCAACTGTAATTAGCTTTTCTGTTTCTCCAGCTAACCAAACAAGCCCTGAGTTTCTCCTTCTCAGTGGACCAAGACATCCAAGTAGAGAATTTAAAACCAGCCACGGTAAAAGCCTATGATTATTATGAGACAGGTGAGTGAGATTCACACATGCTACACTTTGATTTAAAAAAATAGACTAAACTAGCTAGCAAAGGGTTATTATAATGAAAACAAAACTCCTCAGTTTGTCACCGTAAGAAAAAGTGAGTTCATGGTCATCAGACAATCATGTTCTTATGTATTAACCTTTCATTTTTCTCCCTAAACAAGTCTTGGAGCTATATAAATTGATCTTGGATCAATAAGGGGTTGATTCTAAATTCCTTTCTAAATTCCTTTCTAAATAAGTTGTTTGCTCTGGAATGAATTATTCCAGGAAGACAAGAAGAATAACAATAACTGAAAGACCACATCTCAGCACTGATTATGTGATATAAGATCTAAAATTGGATCTGTTTTTGACTCGGGCCTTGGATAGTCTCACAAAATCTGGTGAATTTGTAAACATATCTAGAAATTCTTTCATTTACTCATACCTTTGAACTAGAAACTTACCAACATTTCAGCATGCTAGTAGTGTTAAAACTTTACTCTTCTTAGATTAAGTGAAGGTTCAGAGAGGAAGGAACTATAACTCAAATGACAAAAACACAGCTGTGATAAAAGGTGGTACAGTGTTCTATAAATAGAAAGTTTTCCATCTGTGAAACCTGTGCCTTCATTCTGATCCAAGCCGAACTTTCTCTTACTCACCCCTCCAAATGCTTTTGTACAGAAGGCCATCACTTTTACTGGCTCCGTGACTGTTTTTATACTTTCTTTCTTAGCTTCCATTGAACATTTTGCTTACAATTCACTGCTCATGTGCCTGTTACTGAATATCTTCACTCTCTGTTTCATCATTTTTGTGTTTCAGATGAATTCACCATTGAAGAGTACGGCGCTCCCTGCAGTGCAGGTAAAGTATAAATGGAAAAATCTAATGCCAACGGAAAGCAAATAAATAAATATCTGTTGTCTGCATGAGGCAGCTTCTTGAATATATCCTTATCATATTATAAAACTTCTTGGGTTATTATTTATGAATTAAGAAATTTCAAGTGTATTGTAGAATTTCTCAGTAGAAAAAAATGCAAGTCAAATAGAATTACTGGCGTCTGGGGTAGCTTCTTTGAAGATGAGTTCAGTAATTTGCCACATATAAAAAACAAATCATCTAACATTTTGTTTTATTCCGTACCTAGTGGTAATACATTTATCACCTATGACATTTCTAGAATGCTTCTAAACCTATACTAGTTAAGATGAGGAAACTTTTCACTGTAATTATGCATATAGCATAGCATGAAAGATGTTATGTACAAAACCTTCCTCTGGACTGTCCTTTCCACTTTAAAAGTTATTTTTTAAAAACCGAGAACAGCTCTATCATTAAAAATAATTTAAATACATTAAGTTCAAATATTTACAATTAAAATATGAGAAATTTTTACTTTAGATCACAGAATTTCCCAAGTATTTCTACCTTTCCTTTTACTGTTTAGAATCTAAACTTGGAAATGCTTGAAAATGGAAACTTATGGACCTCATCAGATGAAATTCTCCAAAAATGAAGAACAAAGACCTATAGGAGAGAAGACAGTGGGAGAGGGGACCAAAATTGGAAATAGATAATATTTGTATGTTGAATAAATTTATAACATTTACAACTCTGTTGTTTCTTTTGTACTTTTTAAAAATATATATTTTATTGATTATGCCATTACAGTTGTCCTATCCCCCCTTCATTCCCCTCCACCCTGCACACCCCTCCCCCACCATTCCCCCTTTTAGTTTATGTCCATGTGTCACAAGTTCTTTAGATTCTATATTTCCCATACTATTCTTGCCCTCCCCCCTATCTATTTTCTTTCTACCATCTTTGCTACTTATTCTCTGTACCTTCTCCCCCTTCTCCTCCTCCCATTTCCCTGTTGCTAACCCTCCATGTGATCTTCATTTCTATGGTTCTTGCTCCTGATCTAGCTGTTCTCTTAGTTTGCTTTTGTTTTAGGTGTGGTTGTTAATAACTGTGAGTTTCTGTCCTTTCACCGTTCGTCTTTTTTATCTTCTTTTTCTTAGATAAGTCCCTTTAATATTTCATATAATAAGGGCTTGGTGATGATAAATTCCTTGAATTTGTTCTTATCTGAGAAGCAGTTTATCTGCCCTTCCATTCTCAATGAAAGCTTTGCTGTATAGAGTGCAATCTTGGTTGTAGGTCTTTGGATTTCATGACTTGGAATACTTCTTTCCAGCTACTTCTTGCCTGCAAGAATTTCTCTTTTGAGAAATCCGCTGACAGTCTGATGGGAACTCCTTTGTAGGTGACTGTCCCCTTATCTCTTGCTGCTTCTAGGATTCTCTCCTTCATTTTAATCTTGGCTAATGTAATGATGATGTGCCTGGTGTTTTCCTTCTTGGGTCCAACTTCTTTGGGACTCTCTGAGCTTCCTGAATTTCCTGGAAGTCTATTTCCTTTGCCAGATTGGGGGAGTTCTCCTTTATTATTTGTTCAAATAAGTTTTCCACTCGTGGCTGTTCCTCTTTCCCTTCTGGTACCCCTATAATTTAGATGTTGGAGCATTTAAAGATGTCCTGGATGTTCCTTAGCCTCTCCTTATTTTTTTGAATTCTTGTTTCTTCATTCTTTTCTGTTTGGTCCTTTTTTTCTTCCTTCTGGTCCACTCCCTTGATTTGAGTCCCAGTTTCCTTTCCATGACTATTGGTTTCCTGTGCATTTCCCTTCATTTCAATTAGTTTAGCCTTCATATGTTCCTCTAATTTTTTACTGAAATCAACCAGTTCTGTGAGCATCCTGATCACCAGTGTTTTGAACTGTGCATCTGAAAGGTTAGCTATCTCTTGGTCACTTAGATTTATTGGCTCTGGAGCTTTGAGCTCTTTTTCTGCAGTCATAATGTTTTGGTCAGGTAATGCCTATTACGTATGAGGGGCAGAGCCTTAGGTGTTCACCAGGGCGGGGCAACCCAGTCACTGGGTTGTGACGCTGTATGTGGGGGCGGGGTCAGAGAGGGGCAATGGCGCCTGTTCTGCCCTCTCAGATTTCTGTCCCCTCTGCTGCTTCTCACAAGCAAATTGGGCCCTTCTGGTGCTGGTTCCCAGGTGTGTGGGCTTGTACACCCTCCAGGACCCTGTGGGTCTCTCCAACGAACTCTCTGTGAACTTGGGAGCTTCTTCCAGCACCTTGACCCCAAAAGTCTTTCCAATTGGTGCTTTCAAGCTGTAATTCCTGTCGCTGGGGCCCTGGCCTGAGCTGTTTGTCTCACTGCTTGCTCCTTCGCTTGGTTTATCTGCGTGCGAACGTGTGGCTGTGGTCAGCCAGCCACCTTGCGCCCTCACTGGGTTCACCCTTTGCCACCCCATGCCTGGGATCCACCAACCACTGCCTGTGCTCCTGTGCTCCTGAGCTCCTGGGTTGGTCGGCTGGTCTTTCCTGCCGGACCCCACTCTGCTGCTGGCTCCGCCCCTCTTACCAGTCTGGATGAATGGTTCATTGTTGTCAGACCTCCCTATAGTTCAATTTTTTGTGTTTTGGCTGCATTTTTGTTACTAGAACTTTGTTGTCTTTAAACTCGGTTGTGCAAGGAGGCACAATGTTTCTATACCTACACCTCCATCTTGGCTGGAAGTCTCTTTTGTTCTTTATTAATGTTATATTTCCCTCCTAAAATATGTTTCTATTCCTCATAATGTTTTTAAAAACACTAAAATACTATACAAACTGTTGTATTCCAAAACACTAGTGATAAAATGGGGTTGCAAGAAGTGTTCAAGTAACCCACAGGAAGGTAGAAAACAATGTTTCCAGTATTGAGACAACTAAAATGCCCATCAATATGTGAATGGTTAAACTACCTGTGGTACATTTATACCACGGAATACTACTCATCAATAAAAAGGAGCAAACTTGATATACACACTTGTGTGGATTTCAAAAACAATATGCTAAGTGAAGTTAAAGCCAATTTCAAAAGCTTATACTCTATTTTCTTTCATATAACATTCTCAGAATGACAATATTACAAAAATGGAAAACAAATTGGTGATTTCCAAGGTGTATGGATGATAGCGTCAGTATGAAGGGCGTGCCTATAATGGGACAGCATTAGAGATATCTTTGTGGTGATGAAATTCTGCATGTGTGAGAACAGAAGTCCCAGTTCAAGTTTTCACATTTAATTCTTTCTCAAATTATTTCGTTGCCTATTGTGTGGCAAGTATCTAAATGGACTTTTTTCTGAGGTAGCTTTCTAATAATCCCATTATCATTTATTGACCAAGTATATATTTCCCAGATAATAAAAAGTGCCTCCTTTATCACACTTTATTGTATATTTGAAAGCTTGTTTCTGAGTGATTTATCCAATTCCATTGATAAGCTAGTCTATTCTTTCACAGACACCTTGTGTCTCTCTGTTCATGTTTTCTTTGCACTACTAAGCCCATTATTCATTCCAGGTAAAGCATTGAAATCCATTTATCAAGTTAATTATCCCCTTAGTCACACTGGGTATTGTTTAGTACAACATTGAATATGAATGAATTTATAATGATTGTGAATGTAAACATTTTATAGTATTTTAGCCACCCCTATTTAGACATATTTTATCTTTATTTATTTAAGTCACATGAAGTTAAAATTAAAATTTAACTTAAGAAATAGAAGACCAAAGACATACAGAATATTCAGAGACACATGAAGAGATGCTCAATATCGTTAGCTATCAGAGAGATGCAAATTAAAACCACAATGAGATACCACTTTACACCAGTCAGGATGGCTATAATAAACAAAAAGCAACAAACAACAAATGTTGGAGAGGTTGTGGGGAAAAGGGGACCTTAGTTCACTGTTGGTGGGATTGCAGACTGGTACAACCATTATGGAAAACAGTATGGAATTTTCTCAGAAAAATAAAAATCGACCTGCCTTTTGACCCAGCAGTTTCACTGCTAAGATTATATCCCAAGAATCCTAAAACATCAATTCCAAAGAACCTATGCACCACAATGTTCATAGCAGCACAATTTACAATAGCCAAGAGTTGGAAGCAACCTAGGTGCCCGTCAGTAAATGAATGGATCAAAAAATTGTGGTACATATACACAATGGAATTCTATGCAGCAGAGAGAAAGAAGGAGCTACTACCCTTTGCAACAACATGGATGGAACTGGAAAGCATTATGCTGAGTGAAATAGGCCAGGCATTGAAGGACAAATACTATATGATCTCACCTTTAACAGGAAGCTAAACAACAAAACAAACAAGCAAACAGAATAAAAACAAAGACACTGAAATAGGGAATAAGTGGGCAGCGACCAGAGGGGAGAGGGAAGGGAATTTAAGGGGAAAAATGGGGAGGGATTTTGAGGAACAAGTATGAAATACACAGGGATGAGAACTGGGGAGGGGAATGGGAGGGAGGTGGGGAGACAGGGTGGGGGGGGCTGGGATGGGAGAAATAGACAAAAAAACTGTACTTGAAAAACAACTAAATAAAAATTAAAAAAAAAAGAAATAAAAGACCAAAAACGATGAGTAGTAAAATGACAACAAACACACAACTATCACCAACTGAACCTAAAAAACAAAAACAAAAACTAAGCATACAACTAGAACAGGAATGGAATCTCAGAAATGAAGATCACATGCAGGGTTATCAGTGGGGAAGGGGAGAGTAGGGGGGAAATGTGCATGTAATAAGAAGGATAATAGGTAGGCACAAAATAGACAGGGGGAGGTTAAGAATTGTATAGGAAATGGAGAAGCAAAAAAAAACTTACATATACAACCCATGGGCATGAACTGGGCAGGGGATGGTGGAGGGTGGTGCAGGAAGGAGAGGAGTAAAGAAGAGAAAAAATTGGGGCAACAATAATAGCATAATCAATAAAATGTACTTTAAAAATTAACTTTATGAACATATATAGTAAGATAAGTTGAAAGCATAAAGTAACATATACATGGAGAAAATTTTAAAGATATAGACAAAAATGAAATTAAAAGATAATGAAAAACTAAAACACTATTTCCTATTTGTTGGTAGAAACTTGAAAAAAATTTAGCAACAAAATTTAGCCTCATTTGGCAATGATGTGAAGAAGAAAGGGAGTTTTTCGCTGATTTCCAGATACACAGACCATTTGTGCAGAACTGGGGTGTCTTCTTCAGGCTGCATCTAATGTTTTAGTGCACGTATTTTCTCCCATGCTTATACAATTACACACTTTTAAAATTTATTTATTTTCCTCTTATTCATAGTCTCGAATCTTTTTAAAAGCCAAACCTGTGTCTTAATCATGTCTATCGCCCCCTCACTCAGCACAGTGCTGGTCAGTAAAACAAGAGTGTCATTAAATGGGTTGGTGCCTAATGAGCATATCCCTGTAGGTAAAGAGAAGACAAATAGAGTAATAAAAGGGTATTGGCATATACTAATGCAGAAAACGAACTGCTAGAAAGATCATTTTCATGGAAATTTAACTTGTCACTTAATGTTTTACAAATGGCCCATGGAAACCATTTGCATACTTTTTCAAAGCCAAATCAATGAGGGAAAATATATTTGGTTATTTATTAGAACTTTAAGCAAAATATGTTTAAAAGTACATTTTATGCATTCATGAA